ATACTAATACTTCTTATATTTAAAGTATATCTAAGAGTTATTATCTTTTTTTCTTTATTATAATTTATAATTTAAAAAGTATAAATAATTAATTTTATAATAAAAGTACTAAGGGAACTATATACTAAAAAGAGAATTATACTTATACTAGCTATATATAATAGTTTTAATCTAATAGAACTTTTTAAACTTTTATTTCTAAATAAAATTATAATATAAAAAGAGAATAAAAAGTAGTTTAAACTATATAGATTATTATTAAATAATTCTTATAATATTATAATTAAAATATATAATAAACTAAAGATCTTCTAGTTTATATATATAAAATTATATTATAAAGATAAATAGATTAAAATTCTAATTTAAGAGAGTATTAATTTAGTAATATATTTAAAAAACCCTTTACTATTTATAATAAATAAACTATTATAAAGAAGAGAAATATTAAAAAACTTAAAAAATAAACTAAAAATATATATATAATATATAATATAATTAGTTAGATTATATATAAGCTATATAATATATAAGAAGTAAGATATTTTTAAACTAATTAAAAAACTTTAAAAAGAAGAAGTTATTATAACTCTAGATATTTCTTTTAAGATATTTATAATAATAGAGATTAAATAATTTATTAAAATAGAAGTTTTTAAGTTTATATATTTTAATTAAGAGATCTAAAGTAATTAGTTATTTAAAGTATATATTATTAATAAGATAAAGAGCTAGAATATAAAGCTATATAAGAAAAACTATTTAGTAATATAAAACTATAATAACTTAGATAAAAAAATAGTTCTTATATAGTTACTAACTATCTAATACTATAGCTAATATATTATTCTTATATTAATACTATTCTTAATATAAGTAAAAAGCTATATTCTAATAAGTAGAGATATTATATAGATCTATTTATAGTTTAAAATAGATCTATAATATATAATATATATATAACTATTTAAATTACTTAAATAAAACTATTTATAGAGAATAATTATAAGAATTATAAAGCTACTATATAGAATAGCTATAAAAGATTAAAATATAGAAAGCTATAAGTTCTAAAGAATATAAAATATATAGATTATAAATATTATATAATTAGAAGCTTTATATAATCTATCTATAATAATATAGATTTAGTAGAATCTATTAAAGAAAGATATTAATAACTTAAATAGGAGATTTATATAGTAAATTAAATATAATAACTATAGTTTTAATTTTATACTATTTAATCTATATAATTTAAAGCTATATATTTTTATAAATAGCTTACTTACTAATAATTAGAATATAAGCTTATAGATTAGATTTATTATTATATTTAGTATAAAGATTAAAATAAAAGATTAGAAATTTATATTTTAATTAATTAGAAATATCTTATATTAATTCTCTATAAAGTATAAATATATTATAAAAAGTAGTTTTATATTAGAAGTCTATAGTATAATAACTAGTTTTAATATTAATATTATAATTATAAATATACTCTAGATAATTACTTTAAAACTAGTACTACTAGAGATATCTCTTATAATCTATATAGATTTACTCTTACTATATAAATATCTTATTAAACTAGAAATAATAATAGAAAAAAAACTTATAATTAATATAATAATTTTATATTAATTATATAAGTACTATAAAATTATAGAAATAAGATAGATCTATAGAAATAATAATCTTATTAATATATTAATAAAGATTAAACTTAATATAATATTTTTAAAGCTTATTAAATTAAATAAATTAAGAATTAAAATATAAGAGAATATAAGAAAACTATTTTATAATAGTTAGATTAACTTATACTGAACAGAGTCTAGGGTAGGTTAGGTTTAAACTAATTAGAGTATTATTCTGAGTAGTATAATCAGATTATCTTAGGCTGTATAATATAACTTACTATTAATATATAAATATTATAGAGCTAGTAATAATAGATATATAGATAATTATATTAATAACTATCTGAGAGAGTATTCTATCTAGTAGAATAAATATATATATATACTAGGGGATTATTAATACTTAATAATAATCTATTATCCTGGATTATTAGGATTATTATAAGATCCTAATAATCTATTAGTAATTAGTTAGAAAGAGTAAGGTAATCTATATAACTCTAATATATAATAATATAATTTATAATATATTTAAAGTAGATATAGTTTAATAGGTTAGATTAATAAATTAAACTTATATAATAACTATTTAAAAATATAAATTTAAATATATTATATATAAATAGAATATATAAAAAGAAAGCTTTTAATTAAAATAATTCTATTCTCTATCTATTTATCTATTTAAGCTATTTATTTATTTTTAGATTTTATAATTTTATATATTTTTTTAATACTTTCTAATTTTCTAGTATATATAGTTTAGAATATATAGAAAGATAGTATTATACTAGATATTAGAGTTAATAAGATTAGAAGATTAAGAAATTACTCTTATTTTTATTCTTATTTTTAAATTTCTTAATCTTCTTATAAACTATATAATACTTAAGAGTTAGCTTAATAGCTTTAGAAATAATAATATTATTTATAGTATTCTAAGTAATAGTTAAATTATTAAAAGTACTATTAATAATAAAATTATAAGCTTCTTTTTAAATAGTAGTAATATATCTAATTATAATATATACTTTAGTTTATATATAAATAGGCTTTCTAATAATTTTATCTAGCTTAATAAAAGCTATATATATAGAGACTAAATTATATAAAAATAATAGAAGAATAAGAGAAATAGTAATATAAATATTATTATTTTTATTATAATATATATACTATATTCTATTACTATTATAATTAAAATAATAATTATTATTCTTTTTAGAAATAAATAACTTATTATATATTATATATATATTAGAATACTTATTAAAACTAAGTATTAATTATAAAAATAGAAAATAAAGTAATAGATAATATTTATATCTAGTTAGAATAAACTTTCTTAGTTTAATTCTTTTTTCTTTTAATTTTTATTAATTTCTTCTAAGTACTTAAAAGTATCTTCTAATACTATTTAGTAAAGATAAATAGATAAATAACTATTTTAAAACCTATTAAATAAATATATCTAATTAAGATATAGAGCTAAATTTATTTTTTTTAATAATTTTATTTATTAGTAGAGATAAGAAAGTATAAATAGAAGAAGTAAATATAACTAATTATTTTTCTCTAGAATAAAATTAATTATAAAACTCTATTTTAAGATATATAGATTATTATAAATAGAGTATATACTTATAATTACTTATTATTAGAGTAATTAATTAAACTATAGTAGTAGAATAATCTAATAATAAAGTATATATACTAGTATAATAAGCTTATATTATAATATATATATATATAATTAAATAGTATAATACTTAAAGAGTATCTTTTTAATAAAGATATAAGGAATTAGAATTATATATATTTATTTCTTATATTTATAAAGATTATAAGAGAACTTATAATAGAAAAGATTATTTATATAGAATAAGAAAATAAAAAACTATTTATATTAGTATACTAAATATCTATAATAAGTAGTTACTAGCTATAGATTAGTTATAGAGTAATCTGCTTAGTTATAACTACTCTAGAACTAGTTTTATAACTAGTCTAGTTCTATAGTTAGAATAGTAACTTAATTAATTATTTTTATAATCTATTTTATCTATAAGTATATACTTTAGAAAAGCTTTCTAATACTAATCTAGTTATATTAAAACTTTTCTAAATTTAATAGTATAATCTAATACTAATTCTATTTATTATAGATTTTTAAAATCTTTAATAGCTTATTATTCTTTATCTACTTAATTAAATACTAAGATAAAAGTAATCTAAAAGTTCTTATAGTTAGTAAGAATATTAATAGTTTCTTAGTTTTATAAGCTTAGTTTAGCTTTATTATTATATTAGTTTTTAAAATAAGCTTAAAATTATTAATATATAGTACTATTAAAATATATTTCTATAAATCTAACTTTATTTTTATCTATTTTAAGCTTTATTAAAAAAACTTAAAGTATATTTAGAATTAGATTTTAAATTCTTTTAGTTTATTAATATTTTTTAAGAAAAATTCTAAAGAGATTAATTAAATTATCTTTCCTTTATTCTTAATATCTCTTTTCTTAAATTATTTAATTTAAACTATAAATTATTATATAATCTCTTAAGCTATTAGAGCTTATAGAGTATTATTAATAGGTTTAATAGAAGCTATCTTTATCTTTTAATATTATATAGTAATTAAGATAAGATAATTAGCTAAATAAAAGTTATTAATATATAATAATTAAATAATTTATATTAAACTAGATTTAAAATAGATTAGAATTAAACTAATTAGAGAGTTATTCTAAATAATATAATTAGATTATTATAAGCTATATAATATAAGTTATTATTAATATATAAGTATTATAGAGCTAGTAATAATAAAAATATAGATAATATTAGTTTATTAATAATTATCTAAAAGAGTATTCTATCTAGTAAAATAAATATATATATATACTAGGGAATTATTAAGACTTAATAATAATTTATTATTCTAAATTATTAAAATTATTATAAGATTTTAATAATCTATTAATAATTAATTAGAAAAAGTAGAGTTTACTATATAATTTAGTATATAATAATATAATTTATAATAATTAGAAATATTAATTAAATACTAGATAAATAGATATTTTTTATAGAATAATCTAAATTTCTAATTAATAGATTAATAAACTCTTAGTAATAGATCTTAATCCCTATCTTTTACTAGTATAAAAATTTACTTACTAAATTTTAATAAATTCTACTAGAAACTATTATAGAATTACTGATAGGGTAGAAAACAGCTTTAGTATGCTTATACAAACTATACTGTGTCTTTATCTAATTCAATCAATAACGAGTAGGCCCAAGATTCTCAGAGTATATGAATACTATTTTTAGGTCCCTCGTTGGTTAAGTTTCGTTGCTAAGCAAAAACTTCCAGATAGCTCTGGCCACCAATAACCCATCATGATGCCTTGATGCCCGTTCGATGCCGGATTTATACAGGGCATCCGAGAAGATCTTCTGGTCATGCCTCAACTTGAGCAATCGTAGCATTATGGACTCGCTGAATTCTGGATGGGCTTGCAAGGAGAAGACACGCCTTGGAATATGCAGGCCTTGAACCTCACACACAGGGCTACTGCCAATGTTCATCGCACCTTTAGGCAAGCCGACCACAATGTCCTGATGCATTTGATGAAGAGCCTTTCAAACCCAGGGCGTCAATAACTATCCAATTTCCATGATAACGGAAAGTGAGTATAGCTTATACTGACCAAATGTTCGACGCCATATATTTTTCGCCCTTCAGGGGATAGCTCGATAAGATCAACGGAGACTTCCCATATACCCGTGTTTTTTCTCACTTCGGCTCCCAGTGCGCGGGCAATGATCTGATGCCCGAAACATATGCCGATAATGCGAACATTGTGCTTCTCGTATAGCCTCCCGACGTAGTCGACGATCCGAATAATCCAAGGTTGATCTTCGTATGCGTTGTGTTCTAAAGTACTCGTCTGTTAGCAATGCGTACTTCAGTCTATGCGATGATCGTAGTGCATGCCATACTGCTCCCAGTCAACAAGATGGCGTCGACATTCTCAGGCTCAGGAAGCTCCCCGAAGTTGACCACGTTCGTCATAGTCACCTTCAGGTCGACATCAGCGCGACCCATCCCATCGTCATTCTTGGCAGCTTCGAAGCCCTTCCTCAAGAACAGCTCAAATATCTTGCCGTAGGTGCCTACGGCCTCCAGAACAGGCTGAATCGGCGTATCACATTCCAGGACCGCTACACGGTACGGCGCCATATTGATTGGAAAATACAACCGTGGAAACAAGTGGTTATTGGCTTTGCGACGTACTGATACGACCTTTGAACGGATCATCCAGAACGGAGTATCATTGGAAGCATCTACAGCTACTTGTCGCGTGATATGGGAAGGACAGACCATGGAAGTCAACTGCGTGCTTGTCTTTCCAGCTCAGGGTCATGCTCCATAAGATCAGGTACCCATATTGGGACTCCATTTTGTCCCATCAGTGGCAGGACAAGAGGAGTTTCGTAATAGATGCATCCGATTGGGGAATGGGGTAACGCGGGCTGAGCTCAGAGCCGCGCGGATCGCGCCCTGATTATAAGCGCCGCGGCGAAACCCGTGCGGTAGTATGCGACTATCATTTCACACTAGAATCCCGACGTATATGACACCGCCCAACAGACAAAGGGAGGTTGGAGAGCAACAAGCCAGCCATGGGGTTGGGTGAGTCTACTAACCTTGACTAGTTAGTGGAGATTGATTCACTTCGCTCGCCTAATCAAATCGATTTCCGCCTCCATTATATGGGGAACCTCGACATAGCATCTGTAATTAGCCCAAGGCGGGGGGGAATGTGAGTGAAATTGAGGCATCTCTCGGACTTGAACAGCCGCTAAAAGTCACCAGCAAGTTCTCAGCTCCCACGTGGTGGGTAAAAACACGGGTGAGAGTACGAGAAGAACTTGATAATCGTTTTCTGTTGAGTGCTATCCGAGACTAACATTTTGATTGCACTTCACAAGTCCGCACTTCTGATAATCCTTGAAAAGGTGCAATCTACGGATTGATTCGCGCTTCTACTAATCGCCACTCCCTTAATGCAAGATGGATCGTGCATTGGAACATCACCAGTCGTATATTGGTCGCCCTGTGGCTGAGCTGCCTTCGCCATCTCTGGTCCTCAGCCTGCCGATTCTAAAGCGCAATACGGAGGCCCTGCTTCAAGATGTCGAAGATCTCGAAATCGCGTTCCGACCCCACGTCAAAACATTGAAGGTGAGGAAAACAGTGACGAGAAAGTTATGTGGCAGGGCAGGATTCTAAGAGCGACTCTAGACACTCGAGATGACGAGATTGATGTTAGCCGGGGGAAAATTCCGCTCAATTGTAGCATCAACGGTTACCGAGATCAAGGGTTGCTTGCCCCTAGTTTCAGAAGGTATCCTGGATGAGGTAGGTTCCAACGTCTCGGTCAACAATATACACCATATCGCTAAACATTCTGGAGTGTGTATACGGGTTTCCTGTTTACCCAAGTGTACTCCCGGAGCTTGTTCAACTGCGCCAACATCTTGAAATCATCCTGATCATAGACAATGAGCAACAGATTGACCTACTAGAGAAAGCGGATCATGGCAAGCGGTGGGAAATTTTCATAAAGCTTGATGTCGGTGCTCGACGTGCTGGTGTCGATCCCAGCAGCCCTGTGCTCGACAGGCTTATACAACGAGCCAACGCCAGCCCAGCCATGTCTATCTACGGCTTTTACTGCCACGCCAATCACTCCTACGGAGGCCGTACTCGGAGAGAGGCTGAAGACATGCTGAAAATCGAGATCGACAGCCTTCTGGGTGCAGCTGAGCTGCTTCCCAGTGACCGCAAGGTGGTGTTATCCCTTGGTGCCACACCTACGGCCCACGTCATCAAGAGTCTCAAGGCCAAGGCGCCCGAGAACGTGCAGATAGAGCTGCATGCCGGTAACTTCCCCTGCAACGATCTCCAACAAGTTTCGACGGGTGTGGTCACAGAGCAAGATCAAGCTGGTCGAGTGATTGCTGATGTCTGCAGCTTGTATGAGGAGAGAAATGAGGCGCTAGTCAATGCAGGCGTCACGTCTTTATCCAGGGAAACAAGTCCAGCATATCCCGGATTTGGGAGGATTGCCAGTTATCCAAAATGGGGCATTACTCGCATGTCACAAGAGCACGGCATCTTGGGCCTGATGACTGATGATAAAAGTACCGAAAGGGCTGAGGTCACTTTCAAGGTTGGACAGAGGTTGCATATATACTGCAACCACATCTGCATTACGGCTGCTGCCTTTCAGGTTTATTTCATCGTAGATGAAAACGACATTGTTCAAGAAACATGGATACCATGGAAAGGCTGGTGATGGAAGCTGGGTCGTGCGCACAGCGCCTTGATACAATTGCACTATGTATCTGAAAACGAAATATAGCAAGGTAGAAAACATCATGTCGGCGGCAACAAACACGTATAGAGGCTTCTTTTGGCTTAATCTCAGTCCCCCTTCAGATCTCAGTTGCCGTTTCTTCTCGTTGCGGATAAAATCGACCGTCTGGCTAATCACCATGAAGGTACCAAAGGCGCCCGGGGCAATCGGTGGTAACTCCGGCGCGAAAGGCTGAGCCATGTCAAAAACCGAGCTACAACACTGATACAACATCTTCTACGCATTAACAGGCCATGTACGATTTGAAGGCCGCTAGGTCATCATCTAGGTGTTGTGTTGGCTTTGAAATCAGCTGTATGCCGCTCGCTGAGTTCTACAATGTTTGACTTAGACAACAAGGAGACGTCCTCTGCCGTTGCAGTAGTGGCGGATGAGTGGGTACGTGTAGGTTATGATTCAACAAATCAGGACTAATACCGCGCGTAGATCCCTCCACTTCGCCTAATAAGGAAAGGGGCTCATCCGTGCGTCAGACTCCGCATTATCCCTGCTCTGGTATCTTAATTGGACACCCAGCAGCTGAGCTATACTAAATTCAGTAATTATAAGTGGATATCCAAGTCTGGGGTCTGGGCTCTAAAGAGTCAGGTGCTCTCAAATGTCTAGGTAGAGTTATCCTGGACATACATCACTTGATGAACAATCATTACATGTAACTTAGGTGCACTATGCCATTTCGTGAAAGCTTCACTTGTGACGCCATGCGGGAAAAAAATTAGAAAGGAAGGGAAAATCCAGGGAGTTATTCCAGTTTGTTTCGTAATCGTTACGGTGCATCACAGTGGAATGAACCAATATCACAAGTTGAATACGGTGAATACACGTCCATATTGGAGGCCACGAGTTTCCCTTGCATTCTTTGGTTCTCTAAATGACCACTACTCCGTTCAAACAAATCTACCGACTCCTGTGTCCATTTTCTTAGCCGAGTAGTGGGCTGATTCCATGAAAATTGACACCTCATGCAAGTGCAATAACCTCGATTTCCACGGGGACACCCTTTGGCAGTTCCTTGACAGCAACACAGCTGCGCGCAGGCTTATGGGAGAAATGCTTCTCGTAGACTTGGTTTACCTCGCCAAAGGAATCCATGCTGGTGAGAAAGACGGTCGCCTTGATAACTTTCTCTATTCCAGAGTTGCTTGCTTCAAGAATACCTTTGATGTTGGTGATGCATCGCTCAGTCAAAACACCCACAGGCTGAGAAAGGTCAATGTTGCCGCTCTGCTCGGCCGGGAGCTGACCGCTGGTGAAGATGAGGCTAGCCGATGCGGGAACGGCTACACCTTGGCTCTGCAGTTGTGAGTTATGGTCTGGCGAGAGCCTGAACATTGTCGAGTTACGTCAAACTCACATAAGGTCCCACGGCTGGTACAGGTTAGCAAGAATTGTCCCATGCTTGTTTGCTTCGCGAAGCGGATTCCAGGGACTGGACTCACCTGGGGCTGCGTTATTGGTGGAGATGTTCTGAGCAGACATTGCTGGAGACGGAAGGCCTTGAGAGGGTAATACTTTGAGAATGTGTAGTAGTGTGAATGAACAAGGAATGCCTCCTCGTCAGGGTCGTCTGGCCTTTTAAGGTCCTGCATCGGCCTCGGTGGATCCGACCTCACTGGCCGAGCAGAACGTATTGGGACAGGGAGAGGGAATTAAGATGGATGCTTGTATTGTAGATATTCCCGGGATTGCTACGAAACATTGCCACTGTGACATAGTCTTACGGGCCAAAAGTTATAGTGTATACTATTGAGGGAGCATTAAGTATTCGGCTACGGTTTTACAGATGAATAGGAACAAATGGATAAGGACACTGTCGCAAGCCAGTTTATATATTATCATAAAGGTACCAGCTATTTTGAGATCACACCTTCGCACAATGATTCAGTCCGTAGAAGGCCGGAGCCTGGTTGCTATTCAGGTGCGAAGGCCTTTGTAATGGACTGATCAACAGTAAGTGATTCCAGCTTTCCAACACTAAGCGTCCTCAGTAATATCTTCAGACGGTCTCAATATATCTCTTAAACTCCCTGAGAGATGTTAGTGACGACGGCCATCGCATATTTCCGAATATAAAACTTACCAATCAGTCACGGCTTCGCGCCACACCTTCAGCTCATGATTACGAGAGATAGTATATGCCTCTACAAATTCGTCGCCGAAGATCTTTCTTGCCATGCTATCCTTGGCGGAAAAAAGCTCCAACGCACTCTCCAGCGTGTTGGGAAGGCGCTGCGGCTTCTGTCCTTCAGGAAGCTGAGCAGTCGGAGGTAGGGTCAGAGGCGCACTATTTTGTACACCGTACCACCCAGATTTGAAAATGGCGGCTAGAGCAAAGTGAGGGTGGAGGTCGGCACCCGGAATGCGGACTTCGAAGCGAGTCGCAGCCGGCTTCGATATCGGAGGCGCGATCAGTCGTATGCTTGCAAGTCGATCCTCGAGACCCCAGCCCAGGGTCACTGGTGCCCAATAATTGTCGATTAGACGCTTGTACGAGTTGACATTGGGGGCCAAGAGGGGCATGATGCCTGGCAGTGCTTGCAGTAAGCCGGCTAGGAACGACCGTCCGGTATCCGACAGGTACTCTACGTCGGGCCATGGGGCATTCTCATCCCTCGATGCTCTTGCGAAGAGGTTTCTGCCCCCATCATCTTGTAAGGAGACGTGGATATGTCCAGAATTGCCCGGCAGTCCTGCAATGGGCTTTGCCATGAAGCAAGGCGTGATGCCGTGTTCCACACCAATTGATCTTGTCAGCAGCCTGCTCCAAAGTTAGCATCTGTGGGCGCGAGGTTTCAAGACGCACACTCACTTGAATATTGTAACGTTATCGGCCATCCTCGATGCTGGTGCATAGTTCATGGCCTGAGTACAATGTCAGCAGGAATGATCGAAACATGACTGTTGCGGCAGATTCAAATTCTAAATAAAAACGCACCGCCTCGTAAACTCCTGGGCCACTCTCTGTGTGCCATCCTTCGATCGGGCATCCCGCTTCCAGGCTCTTGTCGTAGATGTCATGGAAATATCCTTTGCTCATAACCGGTCGCGAAATGCTGTAGCCGAACATGCCGGCAGTTAGTGGCCTCAGCTGATTGACGGCGTGAGATTGAAGATACGACGCCAAGTCCCGTCTGCCAGGGCTGTACCCATCTTGTGACGGTGTCTGGAAGTTGAAAAACTCCAGCTCAACTAGATAGAAGACGTGTCAGTAAAGGCCCGATACCACAATTCGAAGGAACTCACCACCAGCTAATGCCCTTACCCCCGAACTTGCCAAATCTGAATCTAGAGCAGCCATAATGCCACGCCCGTCAGCACAGACGGGCTGGCCGTCGATCAAGAATCGGAGAAAGAAGAAGGCAATGTTATCTTCAGAGGGAAGTCTCCGCATTGAGGCCAAGTCAATGACTGCAACTATGTCCGAGAAGCCTTGTTCCGAACTTGTGATGGTATTACTGGTTTCGTATAAAACATCATGCATATCCCAGCCAAAAATTGCCGAGCTCATCCCGAAGCCATTTTTGATGCTAGATAAGAACTTGTCCTTGGACATGATCTTACCTCGAAGGATGCCATCGAAGTCGACGCCCGCCACTTTGACTTTGGAGTCAGACTTGAGAAGCTCCGCAATGTTGTACATCTCGGCAGTTTGGCTGTGGTCGCCTTCCCCTTGGCCACGTGTGACGACCATGTTGATTTGCTGAGGACCCGAACCACCACTTGGGGAATCGTGCATTATGCGAGGTGATCTCGCACGCCAAGTGAAGTTGTGATGAATGTGCACGCGGCAGCCCGTTGAATAACCACTATAGGTAGTTGAGGTGAGATTAAGGGAAGAATGAACCGTTATGATTCGTTGGCAATTTCAAAGGGGACCAACAAGAGGTGGTCTTTCGGCTTCTTTAGATGACTGAATGGGATGATTGCCCCATGTAATCTGCGGTTAGATGGGTGCATGGGCTGGCGTGTTGCTAGCGGGCTCAACTCACTTCTTCGAAAGCGGATTTGACTTGAGTTAGATCATTGCGCGCCGTGTGATATTAGTCGCCACTGAGATACCAGCCTGGACAGTCTTCGAGCTAAAGAAACGTCTGGGGTTAATACGGGGTCGCGGCTATTTGCCAGGAGCATATACGTACCGCGCTAAATTCCGCCTGGACCCCCAAAGAGACGGACCGCGGTCTTCCGCATCTACTGTGCATGGCTCTGCGATCGGAACCTGATTTGCCTACATTCACTCGGCTCAGACGCCGTTTCTCTGAGGCTGCTAGCTTATATTTCCATTGCTGTTGCACTTTATTCTCTTTTCTCTTACGTACGTGATAGCTTATATTTATCGTGATAGCTTATATTTATCGTCATAGCTTATATTTATCGTCATAGCTTAGTCGGCCTTTCAAGCAATATTAAGTACGTCTACGTAGAAGGCGGTTTTGATGCAGCCGTTCTTGAGTACAGGCGGGTTACGGAAGTTGAAACCCATCCTTCCCACATCATGTCCTAGTCCCTGTAAATAGCTCTCGGAAATCTCGCACCCTTGTTGCAACAACGGAGGTAGTAGGTGGAAGTTAACATCTAACTCTCTGTCGTAATATCCCAATCGACTCCATATCTTGGCAGCTGACAACCTCATCAACCTAAGTCCGATATGGATGGCTTAGTGGCTGCGTGCCAGGAATTGTGCAGAACTTGGCACCCTTGGCTCCATGGTCGCCATCGCTCCTTGCTTGGAGCGTTGGAGAGTTATATTTTCACGCGCCACAAGAGACAGGCCAATAGCACGTAAGATAGGACCAAAATGAAGTGTAAACCTTTTCAGGAACGAAACCCTGGGTATGCTTCTCAATCTTTTTCTTTCAAGAACCTTGTCTGCACAAACTTGGGAACGTGAGATGCTCTAATTTATGGTACTTCTGGTTGGCTATAACTTTCCTTATGCTATCAACTCTTTTAGAGCATATCCTACACGACCTTACTGTCCCTGATTGGGAGGTCCAGTCTGGGCCGGTCCCTCGGCGGTGACGTAAGCCTTGGTCAAACCTCCATCGACAACCAAGTCATGAGCGATAACGAAGCTGCTCTCATCTGAAGCGAGGAATAGGGCGGCTTGAGCTTGCTCAATGGCCTGGCCGAAGCGGCCGGTAGGAAAGTGAACCTCTCGGCGATGACGCTTATGTTGGTCAGTTCCAAGGAAATCCTGTAGCATAGGAGTGCTGCCCAAGATATTAGCTTGTTTGCCTTGCGTCCGGACTGATCGACTTGTAGGGTCATACGTACTTGAGCGGTGCAGGGCACAAGGAGTTGAAGCGGAAGCCTTCACGGGCATGAACCACGGCAAGCTCACGGGTAAGAGCCAACACAGCGCCTTTACTAGCCGTGTACGCCAGTTGAGGTGTTGCAGCACCAACAATAGCTACCATGCTAGCTGTGTTGATGATGCTGCCTTTGGACTTGTTGTGTTTGCGTAGGGAGCGGACGGCGTGCTTGGATCCGTACCATACTCCCTTCACGTTGATGTTCATAGTCAGGTCCCAGATGTTATCTGGGCACTCCTCGGCGTCACCATCCTTGGGGTGCATGATGCCAGCATTATTGAACATGACATCAACACCGCCCCAAGAGTCCACTTCATTGACGGCAGCCTCGACTTGGTCCTCCTTCGATACATCGACAGCCTTGATGGCGACTTTACCGTCGTGGTTTGGGACGACGCTTTTGACCTTGCTGAGGGCTTTCTCCAAGCCCTCCTGATTCAAATCGGCCATCAAGACGGAAGCACCCTCCTGGAGGAACAGAATACTAGTTTCGAGCCCAACGCCGCTACCACGTCGAGAAAGGTCAGCCACAGGCCCAAGAGCCGAAGAATTCCCCTGGTGACTTTAACTTACCCGGCAGCGCCAGTGACAATGGCATTCTTTCCGGCAAGTCGGCCGAACATGATGGGCATGTTGGTATGAGCGTAGATATTGAGAGTATCGAGAGATGGAGGAGATAATGTAGGTTTAGTTGTAGCAAGAAATAACAGACGAGGCCAATATTGCTGCTTCAAAATATGGTTGCTGTGTCAGGATAAGTCAGAAAGGTAGCGAATTAAGAGTGAATTAATATAGTTCTGGCTCCGCGAGTGTCCAGGAATCTTGATGCAAGAAATCTTCCCAAGATACACCAAGATGCGGGACTACACACACGCTGCAGCTCCCCCATCGAAACGACTCAGCAAACAGGTAACTTGACCTTTCCATCATGTCTATCGATTCCTACAAAACATCCTCGTGGAGAGGGTACATTTCCATGGCCTAGTGTTCTCCGTATCGTGCCGGTGGGTGTGGAGAGCGCGGTCTTTAACCGTGATCCGACTTCGCAGTAACTGCTAGCCCACTAGTTGATCAGCACGAAATGTCCACTTGCTTGTCAGGTTAGGCGCGCGCATCGCGCGCTTTGGAATGCTCAATGGCCGCAATCTCCACTGATGTGAATTGTACTTTGTGGTTTTAGCAAGGCCTCACAACAAGCGCACGAGGAAAACGTTGGCATATGGCGCGCTCTTGAAGTATTTCGCGTTGTAATTCTTGCTGAGTTGGTCCCGCACAATGGAAAACAACCCCATATCTTTTCACAACTAGGATATGGTGAATTGTGATTCGGGATGGAGGGGGGTGTTTCTGATACTGGGTTGCATTGGAGCAGTGTAGCCCGTCTGTTATTCACACTCCTCATTGAACCTCTTCTCATCTGCATCTCTTTGTTATCTGCAGTTTGTAAATACAAATACTGATCCCTGTGTAGCCCATGCTCAATTCATGAACTCAGCTGTGATACCAACATCGGCTGAAAGCTACGCAGCACAACGTTTGTTCCAATCGTCATCACAAGTCGCCCAACATGTCCAGCGCTACGATTAAGACCATCTCGCCTTCCACCAACGAAGTTGTCTGCGAGCGCCCCGCGACTACGATCCAGGATGCCCGCAAGGCAGCGCAGCAGTCCAAGACGGCATTTGAGAGCTGGCGCCAGGTCCCTCTTGCTCAGCGCAAAGTGATTGTTGAAAAGGCTCTGGCGTTGATCCAAGAGCGCCGCTTCGACCTTGGTCGCGAGTTGTCGCAGCAGATGGGGCGCCCAATCTCTTTCAGCCACAAGGAGATTGAGACTATGCAGAAGCGAGCCGACTACCTGCTCGATCTTGCTGAAGAGGCGTTGTCGCCTTTACCCGGGCGTCCTGAAGCTGGGTTTAAGCGTGAGGTCAAGAAGATTCCCGTGGGACCTGTGCTCATCGTCTTCGCGTGGAACGTAAGTTCAATCATCCAGCCTGGCTCCAATCTCGATTGAAATTTTTTGGAGGAAGACACGAGAAAGTCAAATCGCTAACTCGTTGCTTCGTACGGTTTCCCTACCTCATCATCGTCAACGCTCTTGTGCCTGCCCTGCTTGCGGGAAACACAGTGCTCCTTAAGCCCTCACCCCAGACACCCCTCGTGGGAGAGCGCATCGAAGCCATCTTCAGGGAGGCTGGCCTTCCCGAGGATGTTCTGCAACTGATTCAGTCTGGAGACCCTGGCATGCTGCGCGAGCTGGCCCAACTCCCCGAGATAGCTGCCGTGGGCTTCACTGGCTCTACTGCTGGCGGTCTAGCCATCAGGGAGGCTGTAGCCAAGCAGACTATTCCTGTAAACCTCGAGTTGGGAGGAAACGATCCCGCATACGTTCGGGCGGATGCAGACCTCAAATATGTAGCTGCAGAGCTCGTGGACGGTGCTGTCTTCAACGCCGGTCAAAGCTGTTGCGCGATTGAGCGTATCTACGTTCATGCTGATGTCCATGACGCATTCATTGTGGCTCTTCAGGAAGAACTTAAGGGGTAAGTATTCGCCTGGTAAACATAGGCTGCTTCTATATGATCAACATGAGTTAACCAAGGCCCGCTGATAGATACGTTCTCGGTGATCCGCTTGACGCGAAGACGATGGTTGGGCCGGTGGTTTCCCGACAGGCCCAGAAAGCGATCCGACAGCAGATCGACGATGCGCTGGCAAAAGGCGCCATTGATGAGACGCCGGAGAATACGAGTTTCCGTTCAGCGCCGACCAGCGGGAACTATGTGGCCCCTGTTATCTTGACCAATGTCACACATGACATGGAGGTGATGCGTGAGGAGACCTTCGGACCTGTCATCCCTGTTGCAAAGGTAGCAAATGACGAGGAGGCCATCGGGTTGATGAACGACAGCGAGTACGGCCTGACGGCTAGCATATGGACTAAAGACATCTCGCGCGGCGAAGAGTTGATCGAGCATCTAGAAGCCGGTACAGTCTTCGTCAACCGTTGCGACTATCCCAACCCTGTGAGTAATGCCTCCCGCGGCTGCCCTTGTGTTGTCCTTTTTCATAGGCTGTGCTGACTGACGATTTCCAGGACTTGGCGTGGACAGGTTGGAAGAAGTCAGGCCTGGGATGTACCCTTGGTCCACGTGCCTACGATGCATTCTTGAAGCTCAAGAGCTATCATGTTAAGGAGAGGCACGGTTAAATGATGCCCGGATAAGGAAAACTCAGCGTGAGGCAGGATACTGTGGAGCTGATGATGTATCGAGTCGTATTACATACTGTTGGTGTCGCCACCCAACAGCTTCCAGGTTTACAGGTAAAAGGGATCGATTGAGACTGTTGCTTCTAACTAGTAATTACAGAAGAGATCCGTTGACCCTTATATCCCAGGGAATCCTTTGATCGTATCCTCATAAGGGCAGCCCGGTCCAGGGCTCGTAAGGTCCGTCAATTATCCCGTTGGCATACAATTAGTTAGGGATCTTCATATTCGTTAGACTGAGGTTGCAACCTTCCTTCAACGCGTGCGTTTGATAAGATCAGAACGCTCTTCGAGCTATCGGGTCTGTGCCGATAACTCGGTCTTCGGTTGATCGTCAGTCAGCAGGTTCACGATTGATCCTACCGGCTAGGATTGCTCAAGCCGATAGGTCAGGGCCTTGACGATCGGGCCCAGTTAGGTTGTAACCTTCCAATCTTGCTGACAGACCCCTCTCGGAGAAGCTGATCCTTCTAGGTCGGTTGCATCGCGGCCGCGGCTATCGTGTGATTGAACCTTACTCTTGCATTCGTAGCCAGGCCGGCTTCCACGGAATTCCTGATGTTATTGCTAGTAATTTGTATGTGCGTTCGAACAGGCTGGGCTGCGGGCTTTAATCCTCATGGATTATCTCGGTAGTTGACGATAGCTCCTATCGCCCGCTTGGCACCAACACATACAATGGAAAACAACGGACCGACGAGTTCTTCTCTCTGAATGTCAGACGAATGATATCCATATTTCGTTCTCGCGCATGACCCGACTAATGATCCATGGAGTTCGTTCCGTCAGAGGGAGTTTCCATATCTTTTGCAGCAGGATACGCGTAGCACGAATATTGCCCAGTCCAACTGCTACATACATGGCGGTCAGCCGGTTACTCAATTCGGTTTGCCGGATATCATCACAGACGCAGCTGCCGATGACGGCCATGGCCCAGCAAAGGCTTGTGTTGATTCTCGCGTCAGGGGGTAGCTGAAGCAGAATCCCGAACGCTTCCGTAACGCAGTTCTCAACATGCTGTTTGGCTTGCCCTTCAGGAGTGAGTCCAAAGTTCAATGCAGTCAAGAGGAGGATATGGACAGCATGCTTGAAGATGTAACCACAAAGCACGGATTCGGGGTGGCTTGGTGCCGACGGTGTGAAGGATACGATTCGACTCTGCAAGTCAGAGAAGACGATAAATCTGTCGGCTGCTATGGTAGAGGATGACAGCCGCGCAAAGTCGAAGATCCGGGGAACTAGCAAAAGCAGTTCCAGCCACGTGCCACAAAGTTGTCCTACGTAACCGTCCTTGACCATTGCCTCCGCCATTACTTCAAACTGGGAGTCTAAGACAAGAGTTGACCCAAAGCTGGGGTCCACTGAAATCATACTGATGGTCACCAGATCAACATAGTACTCAACAATAAAGTTCTTCAGGTCGTTCGGTAGGTTCGCCGAGTGCGTCATCAGACGTGATAACAAAGGACCCGCTGCCTCAATGTGGTCGAAAATCGAACCGTGCAAATCGCCCTTGGCAGTCTGATCACAAGTGAGCCTCTAATATTCCTCACATGGCACACAACTCGCCCAATCCACAACTCTGCATTATCCGGACACGAGAATCTTGCGTAGGAAGAACTCACCTCTGTAAAGCACATGATCAAAGCCCCCAAAGCCAGCCACAGCGGGCTGACTTCTTGACCGCTGATGTACTCGTCGATCGATTGGCGGAATGATCGTAGCGACTTATTGTAGTACGTTTGAGCGACTGCAAATTGGCTACTATCCTCTGTTGCCCGATGCACGGCACTCTGGCACAGGACCAGACCTAATATGAATTTGTTCGCGAACGCCAAGGGGATTAGTTGAGAAACGAAAGGATTAGTCTCGGTAGACCCATTCCCCATACTTCGGGCCGTACGGGAAATGTAAAAGCTCAAAAGGTCATATGTTGGCTCCTGAGTATCGGATAGCAAAGGCATGCTTGCAGGTACGATGTCCAGCGATGCGTTGGTGCTCTCCACCGCAAAAGCCGCCATACTAAGATCCAAGGCAAAATTCTCCTCGGACGATATGACTGGTCGGCGATCGGCGATCGAAGTCGACTTGGTGTTTATGATATCGAAACCGCCAAAGTCCGACGGTCCCGGATCGTACTCGGTTGGCTGCGATTCCTCCGTCTCCACGTTGCTGCTGGCGGGCGAGACGGTGGATGCTGTTGTACCTGGAGATCTACCAGATCCTGTAGATGCTGAACTTTGGCCCGATTCAAACGCTAAAGAAGGCACCGTGTCGCATGACGTGGAGAAAAGCTCCTCGAGAGGCCAGTCAACTTCGTGTGCGCTAAATGTGATTGTCGACTGTTCGCCCGCTGTGCCAGTGCCCGGTGCAGTGTTACCACGATCGGGTGTACAGCGTCGTTCGAAAGAAGGAGGCCTGTGATGGCCGCCAACAGCGTGACGATGGGCGTCTTTCGATGTCGAGGTTGACGAGGAGGTGTCTTGGTCTGATCGTGCGCCTCGCCTTCGCTTGTGCGCCCTCCTGTCACTGCTGGTCGTTCTGGATGGCCACTCGCACAGGAAGCCGTTGCGTTCGCAGCCAATACACACAGGCTTTGTCTCGTCGCATTTCTTCTTCCGGCTGCGGCAGGTCAGGCATCCGGTCTTGACCCTCAAGATTGGCTGACGAGCTTGGCAGCCCTGCGTGGGCTTTAATTTCAGCGCCAACGAAGCCATGGATGAATAGCAATCGCCAGCAGTTGAAATGAAAAAAGTCGAGCTTATTTATGACTGGAAGCTCGGCGCATACGGTCAGTAATTCATTTACGCAAAATGGGCTTCGTTGCACAAGTACGTATGACTGACATCGTTACGAAGTATAACATGTGAAAAGCCATGCTGAAACTGGACTGTAATTTGGAGTAGGTGGACTAACACTTAATTCGGAGTCTAGGCTTGTGTCTTCGACCCTTGTGACAGCATTAAGTTGGAACTCGGCCTACTTGCCCGGAGTATGTATGCCACTCACCAAGCACTTGTCGAGACATTTGAGAGGACAAAAGGGAGAGGGGTTGGGAAAGTCTGGGGATCATTTTGGGAACGCCAAACGGTGGGTCACCGCGGAAAACATTATCATTGGCTCTATGTCCATCGAGCCTGAGTCAGTCCGCCGATGAGGCCCGTTTTTTGGGGTTGATTATCTACAGAGGGTTTAGCAACTCTAGCAATTTCACTAGCAACTTGTACAGAAAAAGTGACCTAAATTAGATGGAGACTCAGTAATACAGATAAGTCGCTTCTTTTAGGCGTAAGTCTATGTTTAGTTATGAGCATTCCAGACTCCGCCAAGTATTTCGACTGTTGTTGCAGTAATTCATCTTCATGAACCACGTAGTAGTGAGATTTCGGCCCGACATGAGTTGCAATAGAGGATATTTAATGGCTGCCTAGGATAGGTCGATTATGTTACTCTTTGTCCCTCAGAGATTCATGCAGATGTACCTTCAAACTCCTGCTCCGAACATCCAATGTTGGCCTAGACAAGACCCTGTCCAAGTATAGTGAGTCGGGGCCCACTTGTCAAACCGGCCAAATTAGATAAATTAGCTATTTTTCAGCATCCGTAGAAAATGACATCCTTTTTACTTTTTCTTATTTTCACTTTTGAAAATCCCTTCTTTGAAAGATGAGTCTTTTATCTATATTACGGCGGCTACGATAAGTCAATTGACTAGCTGTAAATATGAACTATTTGATCAATTGAGAATACACACAAAACTCAAAACCTCCTTTTCATAGCTGTTGTGGAAGGTTGTTAGATTTTCGTGTGGTTAGCAGTCTGCATTTTGGGCTCGCCAATAGCCGTGGTGTTGTTCGTTTTTCCACAACACAATAGTAAAGTTGTATTTTGTCTCTTAGATCTTTACTGCTGTCCACTATAGCTAGAGATCGTCCTAATATTTGATATCGATAGGATCATATTCCTTGCGGGCGCGAGCGTACCACCATGCGACAATTATTACTCCCGTGATGGCGTATACAACGGAGACATAGTTCATGTTATCTCCAGTAACGGGTTGGACAGGAGGGAAAGCGTACATCTGCAGTGGAAGTCATTAGCAAGAGTTGGGAAAACAAAGTGATGCTGAACTCGAGATTAGCTTCTCACCACAAGCGCAAAGGATAGCCAAAGCAGCAGAACGATATTGCAGACGAGGCCAAGTCGACCAAGCCAAAAAGGACCGTGTTTAATGGTGTTGCGGCCGCGAATGAGTAAACACACAACCGGTATCGCGTACGACGTGTAAAGCAACACAACGCAAGCTGTCACCATACTGTTAAATGCAGTGTAGGAAGCCAAGTAAAGGCAGCCAACGATGCTCACAATGACACAGCTTACAAAGTGTGCCCAGAGAGGCACTCGAAGCTCAGGATGAACTTGTCGGAGGTAATGTGAGCCTGGCATACCGTTGTCCCGTGCGAAAGACCAGCACAGGCGGGCCTGCCAGGTGTGTGAAGCAATCAAGCAACCGCAGCCCGTTAAAATGATCAGCGATAACAGAACGATAGCCCCAGCTTTGCTTTGTAGCGCTTGATAGAAGAGCTGTAGAATGGGTACGCCGGTCGGTGTGGCGGCTACCTCGTCGAAGTCCCCGATGCTGAACATGATACCGATGGCGAATAGCCAAGCTGTAACAAAGCCTATTCCCACGGTGCCGAGTATCGCGATCGGGATGTTTCTGGCTGGGTTGGGAACCTCTTCGGCCATGTGTACAGCACAGTCGAGGCCATTGAAAGCCCAGTTCGGATTAATCAGACCAACGATATACGCTATTCCGTCGTTGGACCAGCCTGTATGGTTGACGAATTTCGTGAAGACGAAGCTAGCAGATTGGTGGGTGGGCGCTTTGATCGGCACGACGAGAATGATGACAAGAAATGAGATGATGGACGTCCAGAGCGTGGCAAATGTTATAGTTGGCAGAGCACGACTCGAGATGTTGAAGAGGGCACAGGTGATATGAATGACCTGATAAGCGACGAAGCTCATCCACGGCGTGATCTCTCTGTGATTCAGGTGTCAGCAGGTGGCTCTCGCAGTATTGCAGTGGCCGGGGCATCAGTCTGATCTGGGGGCCGCTCGCACTGACAGTTCTGGGTGTGCCATCTGTATGGCACCCATACATAGGTTGCCCACACCAAGAGCTATGCTTGCACATGTGAAGAGAGATCCGGCCCAGGCTATCCAGCCCGTCAAATACGAGGTGAACTTTGCATACCGCGGGCACGCTAGTTGACTGGTCCAGAAATATTGCCCCCCAGCGTTCGGCATAGCCGATGCGAGCTCAGCAAGACTTACACCGATCGCAGAACATGCGACCGTCACAATTATGATGCCATAAACAAGCTGCACAGGACCACCCGAGTTGATGCCGGCAACTAAGGCAGTGGAGATACCGAACCACGAGTTGGCCAAAGAGAAGCTGATTCCGAGGACCGACCAGATACTGAAGTTCTTCCGGAGCTGTTCTTCTTGCCCCCCGTATACAACTACTTTGTTTATGAGTCTAGATTCTAGCCAATGAACAAGTGAGAGCACCTACTATTGTGCGAGACAACGGTCTCCAAATCCTCTTTCTTGTAGTCTTCGACTTGGTCATCCATTTTTAAGTAGAAAGTATGTATCAGATCAAAATTCTTAGCGGTTGAAGGAACCAGAGGAGGTGAGCGATGTGTAGTGTAGAGAGTAGGTCAACCCAGCGTCGGCGGATCTGGTATATTTGTAGTTCAAGACTTCTATCATATCGCTGTGTTGTTGTCTCTGTGCTATGATTTCCACGAGTTGCTAAGCTACATGTAGATGGACACCAAGCCCGCCCCCGTGGGGTAAGCCATCTCAGTAAGTCAGTGGGAGCAGCGGCTCAGCTACACAACCGGTCCACCAAGAAGCATGTCACTACCAATGACGTACCCACAAACTCGGGACTTCGAGATGTTATCAGCAGAGCGCGGCCGTGGCTCGAAAAGTGGGTTGTCTTGCCGCGGTTTTATATATGATAGGTTCGCTCTTGGCCAGGTCGACGCAAGCGTCTGCGGACTCGCCACTGGCGCATCGTGGTACATTTTTACGATTTACGGGTCTACTTCCCGCTTGAGATTGACACTAATCATGGAGGCTCGCTCCCCGGACTGAAATAACCGACGATAACCAAACCCCATGAGAGTATAGATGAGGCCGAGGCCTTGTCCTCATGTCAAGCCACGAGCCCCTGCACTATTTCACAATTGGGCTTTATGTATAACTCTGGACTCTGATCCGATTGATCCGCGACGGCGCACCAACGTCACAAATGAAACATGCCCCTGTCTCCTTCAATGAGCCCATCTTGCCCATCTACCTCGGGACCCTGGAAGACCCAGCCATAGTGCGTACATGCAGCTTTGCTGGTGCAAGTCCGGCGATACGGAACACCCGTACCCACGCCCTCCCAGCAACAGCCGATTCCAAAGACGCAATCACAAGCATGCCCAAGAGGTCTCTAGAAATCGCCTTGTGCACCCTTGAGGCTATAACCCGGCAGTCCAAAGGTGCGCACGCCTTGATCACCCCTACGTAACTCGTTGTGATTGGGCTTGGCTAGGTCATTCATGGATCGCCAATAGAAACCACTGCCTCCCAAATGCATTATGATCTCTCTCCTGCCCACATAGTCGCCATACACATTGAAAGACTTGACAGAAGCGTACTCCGGGTAGCTTCCCGTAATAATGACATGATAGTGTACAAGTGTAACGCCACGTTCATGAGAATCGTAATCGGTAAGAACGTCGTGAGATCTTCACTTGCCCGAGGAATCCAATCATAAGCAAGTCGGCACTGAACCCTGAGGGCGGTCCAATCTCCAGCGATGGAAGTTTGGTTGATCATTGAGCACTGGCCGTTTTTAGCGTTGAGAAGACAGAACCGCTACCATCGACGCAGGCAACCAAGAGTGAAACGCCCAGGTCATTCCGGCGCTTCTTTCGTCTGAGATGTTGAACAGCGGATCGGTAACCATTTTTTTGCTCTGATGATCTGATCTTGGGCATACCAAGACCCTGATCATATATTCTACAGTAGGTGTCTTGATATAGATGCCGGGTGCTACTTTAGTCATGATTCTTGTAATGGTGGCCAAGCTCGGACTTCAGCTCCAGATTTCTGAGCATTGGCAAGATCCTCTGCTGATCATGAAGGCCTAGGTAAGCCTTGCAGAATCAGGGTAGCGTAAACTTTGAGCAGTATCCGTAGGGCTTCTGACATGATTGAAAGATAGGCGGGCGCCATCGCAGTCTTGTCCGACATTGGCTGTCGGACTCATGTCCGCCCTGTCGCATTCGACATTGGGCAGAGCTGAGACCCCAGGCTAGCCGGCCGGGGTGATGGATGATGGGTGCCCATTACGATCGGAGGTGGACACACGTTCCTCGCATGAGAGGCTCAATCCTCAGCGGTCGTAGGTTTTATATGAGTCGTATGCTCCAAGCTTTATTCCGAGTTTTTGAAGTGCCAAATTTGAGATCGTGCTTGTATACCAACGAACCTTTCTACAGTTTTTGCATTCGTCAATCAACACGTGCCAAGTGGACTATATACGGATATCATTCAACATGGACGCGGACAGCAAGCCGTCGATCGTTAACGGAAGTGAGGCTATCGAGACGAAAAGGGCGCACGCCACCACCTGCGAAGGGGGTGACGTCGCGGCCGAAATAGCCAAAAATTTTGCCAATGAACCGCCGTATGACAACGAAGAGGAGAAAAGGCTAAGATGGAAGCTTGACCTCAGGCTCATTCCGCTTCTCTTTCTAAACATTACTCTTCCAGCTCTGGATAAGGTTACGCCATCCACCGGGGCTCTATATGGCCTTCGCGAGGATTTGAAGCTCAAGGGAAGTGAATACGCGTGGGTTGGGTCATCATTCTACGTAAGTTTGCTGAGGTTGCTCGGGCCTACGTCCATGATAACTGACATTTCTATACTCGTACGTAGTTTGGCTACCTATTCTGGTGCTTCCCTTCTTCGCAAATTCTGCAGCGATTTAACATCGCAAAGTCAATGTCTGCAGTGATGGTTTTGTGGGGGATCTTACTCGTTGGCGCTGGGTTTTCCAATAACTTCGCTACTATGTGCGCCACGAGGGTGCTCCTCGGAGCTCTCGAAGCCCCAGTAGCCCCCGGTAACTTCATCCTGATGACAATGTGGTACACCCGTAACGAACAACCAGTTCGTGCAGGCCTTTTCTACACCGGTACGTAGTCATTGTGGAATTCAAAGCCTTGCCCTTTGTCTGAACTCCGATGTAGGGCTCGCAACACTGATAACTGGGACTTTGGGGTGGGCTGTCGGATTCATCCACCGCGACTACGCCTGGAGGAGCTTTTTCTGGATAACTGGCGGTATTACAGTTGTCTATGCGATCCTTGTCGGTTTCCTTCTCCCAGATAATCCGGTCAAAGCTAAATTCATCACCGACCGAGAGAGATATGTGGCCATCGAAAGACTAAGGGCCGATCAATTAGGCATAGAGAACAAGACTTTTGTCAGATCTCAGCTCTGGGAGCTTGCCGCGGACCCCAAAACATGGCTCATGTTCTTCTTCAATATCTTCGTATCCATCCCAAATGGCGGCCTTACCAACTTTGCCCCACTCATCATCAATGGCTTGGGGTATAGTCCGCAGAGGTCGGCGTTGCTGATGATGCCTACCGGTGTTATCCAAACACTTTCAAGTTATCTCTGTAACTTTGGAGTCTACTTCTGCATCCGAACCTTTCGCGGGGTTCAGCTACGGGGCGTGTTCGTCATTGGCGGCCTTATTGTCGGGATGCTCGCTACTATGCTGCTATACACGCTGCCATTGGATAGCTATGTGTCGAGGCTCATAGCACTTTATTTCTCCTATTTTTATCTTGGCCCATACATTGGTGAGCACGCTCTCTTCCCCCCTCCCCTCTGTTATTTGCCTACAACTATATCAGCTCGCTGAATATTTACTAACTGACCACAATTAGTCGCACTTGGTATGAACAGCGCGAATACGGCTGGCCATACAAAGAAGGTAACTAGTAATGCCAGCGTTTTCGCTGCATATTGTATAAGCAACATAATCGGGCCCCAATTTTTCCAATCTTCACAAGCACCACTTTACCCTCTTGGCATGGCTGCGATGCTAGTCGCTTACGGTCTCAGCATCTTCACAATGATTTTGTACATGTTATATTGCTGGAAAGAGAATCGTCGAAGGGAGATGCTGGACGCAAATGCCGGAGGGATGCATCTAGACACGGATTTTCGAGACATCACGGACTACGCTAACGTACACTTCAGATATGTCTGGTGATTTCATCTTGAACAGAATCATCAATTAATCACCTTGTATCATAAATCAAATATTTGCTGACTGCATAAGTGCATGCTGCTTCTACCCACACGAGAACTGCAGGACACGGCTATGGCCGAGTCCGCGCTTGCGAAGTGCCTTCATTCCCTACACCAGCCCGCTGTTCCTGGAAGTCATGGGCCGATCGATCTTGCACAAATGGATATACTAGACATAATCTCTTACGGCTGGGTGAATGATGTATTTTGAAAGTCTCTGCCATTAGTGGGCACTGGGAATAATCCGAAAACATCCCATGCTCGCTCTCAACCCCTTTGGAGCTCCGTGTAAGCAGCTGCCAAGCGGCGAATTCCCGCGTCGATCTCGCTCTCCTCATGCCAGGCCCAACACAGTCGCAACCCATTGCCAAAACTAACTTCCGCCCTCGAAGAGCTTCCAGCATCTCCAGTTACAGCCATCATACTTCCCGTTGCAACTCTAAGGTTGTATTTCTCTAGCGCCAATATGGCCAAGTCCACAGCTAACTTAGCATCACCTGGTAGCTTGAGATAAACGAAGAACCCCCCAACAGCTCTCTCGCTGTTATTAGGCACTAAGTCCTGACTGGCTGACGAGACGCGTATGCCTAAAGGGGATAGATGTGTTTTGATCGACTCCAGCATAGACTCAGAACGCCTTTGATAGGTAGGGATCAAGGTATCCTTGATATATTCCTGCAGCAGTCCCGATTGCAGCATTTCTGACACAATCATGGACGAGAAGTGTCCCTGGCACCCGCCTGAGACAACCGCACCCAGCTTGCATAAGTCCCTTGCTGTATTCTCTGAACCTTCGATCCATCCAACTCTGATACCGGGGGCTATAATCTTAGAGAAGGAGCCATTACTGACGGCATTACCCCAGGGAAGCTGACCCGGTAGACGACGATCGATGTCGACAAGTCTCAGGGGTGGTGGAGGAAGTTTTTTGCCGGCACTCGCAGAGGCATTTGGCCACCGCAGAGAGTCGTAGACGTCGTCGGCGATTATCAGAGCATCCACTTCCCGTGCCAACTTGACCAATTGAGTCCGGCGAGTCAACGACATAGTTCCACCGGTCGGGTTACTGAAAGTCGGAACAGCATAAATGATGTGTCGGTAGACCTTCCGCAGCGTTTTTTTTTGGCCATCTGATGAAGGGGAGCCTTTTGGTGTCTGTGCGTCAACACCGGCGATCTGTTCCCTTAGAAACTCGATGTCGATCCCCTGCTCATCCTCGGGCACTCCTCGAAGGCGATCATGAAAACCAGCTTGTTGAAAGACAGGGCAAGCCAAAAAGTAGGTCGGCTCCACCATCCAAATCATCTGAGTGACGGAAGGCTCAGTAAAGCGAGAAAGTAGATAGCTCAAGCCTGCTGATGCGCCGTTGGTTATGAATAAGTACTCTGGTAAGCAGCATTCCGTATCCAGACCGTACAATTCATTCAGCCACTTCGCCGTAGCTTGTCGGAGAGATGGATGGCCTGGATCTGGTCCATATACAAGAGCTTGCTGGGCGAGACTCTTTTCCAACACTCTGTTGGCAGAATTCGCTAGCTGCTGTGTGGGAAATAAATTCGGGCTTGGCCAGCTGGAAACATTTACACAATTAACTAGAATGTTCTCGGGAATCTCGGTTTGGGCCAGTCCAAATTAGAGTGAACGATTTTAGCTTACCCAAGCTGGAGGTTGATGTGTTGTGTAGTGTCATTCATTGCATCCATCTGATAAAACTAGAATGCGCCGTTGGGGCTTGACGAAACAGTGCTTCTTCCTGTGGGCTAGTCCTTCTATTTGGAAAGTAAAAATGCTAGATAAACAATCTGATGAGACCCTCCAACTAAGGTGAGAGAACCGAGGGCTAGAATGAGTACATTCACAAGCGGACAGGCGTCGGACATGACCCCACAGTCGGCGGACTTTTGTCCGACAACAACCCCCTGAGCCAAGGACTTGCGCGCCAGCTCATGGCGCTTCCCATAAGCCTGTGGTTGGCCGCTAGTCATTCCAATTGCGAAGGGAACGAAAGTGGCTTGCCACATCTGAAGAGTGGGTGGTGCGGCTAATCAGTTGGCCAAGACGTCGCGGGGTGTTGACACACCAGGAGTGACAGAAACGCCCGGCAATTTGAACCAACACGCAGTAGCTTGCCAGCTCAACCGGCTTTACTTGGTCTTGACTTGAGCAGATCCACCTGTGATGCAGCGCTCTATGGTGAAAATGGTCGTTCCTGGCTCTGATTCATTGCGCATGATCGCCCAGTAAGTGTCTGGCCTGTACTGGCGGTCCAAATCATCACTACCGGGTAGGCCGACTGGAATGGGGACTCAGACTTGTGTACCAGCCTCTCTCCAGGGCCTCAAGTAGTATGGAGAGAACACGTGATAACCCCAGCGTGACTCCACTCATCCGGGGCATCGGGGACGGCTCCACAATCTCCACTGTCTGATAACACAGCCAAGCGCGCGCTAGGCGCTCTGTTCCTCAGTATCCTTGCCTTCGTGGATATCCTTGGGGTGTCAACTGCTGATAAGCCAGTTAGTAGACTTGGAGTCCGAGTTGTCTACTTGGCGACCAGCAAATCGTTTAGCGAACCTTATCCGTGCTCCGCAGGTCGCTCTGATCCCCCACCTCCCCCTCGACCCCCTTTCCCTTAAACATTGTCTTTCAGGATGCACATGCCAGATTTGCTACACCTAGGATATGTGTTCGGGCGCGCAACTTGTCAACATACCTCCGGTACTTCTTGATAGGATCAGAGCGAAACGGTAGACAGGGAGATCTTCTGGCAAATAACAGCCAAAGGGTTCAAACGTGCAACCCAGGTCAGATAGGCAAGATGGACGAAGCCGTCGGGGACATCGACCTCGACGATAACCTGCTAGTCCCCAGGAAACAGTTACGTCGCATTGCGTGCGTTCGGTGCAGGAGGCGAAAGAAGCGATGTGACCATGCCTTGCCCGTATGTGGCGAGTGCCGCAAGGCAGGTCTGCTCGAATGCATCCAGTCCGGCGTGGTGCGACAGGGCTCCTCTGTTACCATCCCCTTGGCCTACCTCCGCCATCTTGAGGAAGGCCTTTCACAATCGCCGCCTGGCTCTGCGTTCTATCAAAACCAACGTGATGGTGTTGATGCCACGGATAGCACCAAGCATGACACCAGCGGCGGCAGTAGCACGGGAGGTTTGCCTCGAGACCTGTCGCCAGTTGAGCTAGGACCCCAAACAGCTTATCCCTCGCCAGCGAATGATGCTGCCTTTAGTCACACCGGATATCGTGCCACTTCGACTGTCCACGCCTCCGATTGTGTTGGAGAACCAGCCCCTGGGACTTCCTGCCTTGCGCAAAAACAGTACGCAGAGTCAGCAACGGCGGCAGCTGGATCGAGAATCGTGTTAGATGGGGAAATAGCCAAGGCGCTGCCCTTGGCCTGGGCTGAACATTATGCTAGTATCTATTTCCAGCACATGCAGCCACAATGGCCATTCATGGACCAAGTATCGTGGTATTCCAGCTTCGCGGCGTGGTTGGACGATCCAAACAGCCTGACCAGACCAAGCCGTTTTCTCGTTCGGCTCGTCGTATCCATCGGTGCACTCGTCTGCAGCTCTTTCCGACCCAATTGCCCACATCTACAGAACAGTCAGAGCACCTACCGCAGCGCCCTTCAGTACGACCTCGGTGACCTCATGCGAAGCAAGTCCATGTTGCCAAGGACCCAGGGAGCCCTGCTGCTCCTGGTCTACGCATTCCATGGATCCTCCCCACAACCTATCGAGCAGTGCCTGAGGTTTGCCATGATGAACTGCGTCAGCCTGATGACGGAACTTGAGGAGCAGCCAGAGCATCAGAGACGGGAAGTTGATGCACAAAATAGCCGAAACATTTACCAAAGCGTCGTCATGAGCTGCCATATTCTGAATGAAGTCGTGTCATCAGGGTGGACCTATCCGCAAGATCTTATGGGCGAGATTGGGGACGACAAGGTTAGTATCCGTGCTGCCTAGGTGTCCTTGGGATCCTATTACTCTCATTTGGTGTTATTGTCTGTGATGGCATGCTAATATTTTCAGTTACTACAACATGTCTCGCAAATCCAGCCCTGCCCGGATTTTCCTGCCGTCTTTGACCAATTATTCCAGTTGAGATGCATACAGTCAAGGATCAGGCATGACAATAGGAGACTACGGTATCTGGACCTCGATGATCCTTTGCGAAGGAGATGCCATACGCGCTTCAAGGCTGAGCTGGAGGAATGGAAGAGGCGTGTGCAGTCAATCGACAGCCCTGAGTCCTGTAGCGACCCCATCTACCATGCTCCCAACTCCCTCTTCAAACTTTACGACTATAGCCTGGCGATCCTGATGCAGGATAAGCCTTTTATGACAGTGGTAGAGAATATAAATGAGTTGGTACGATGCTGTAGCGAGGCATGTTGTACATTCCAGGTTTCCCAAGAATATGACCCGATTGTCTACTGGACTTGGGCGTCGGTAAGTCTCGCGTGGCTCTTGTCCTGTGTTCTTCACCTTACCAGAAACCTAACTCGGAGCAGCTGATGTACCAATTCAGGCTGGGCATTCTCGTGCTCTATTGTTATTGGATCACCCCCAATGCCGCTACAGAAGAAGCTGGTTTCCCCCTGCAAGAGGCGATCGATGGCGTGCAGAATTGCCGAAAGACGTTGTTAAAGTTCTCTCTTCGTTGGGCCAAATCCATGATATTTCTCGACGCCTTTCAAATCTTGACAGAGACCGTCTGTGATGGTCCTACGTTCGGCATCACTAGTGATGATCCTAGCTTTATGGGCTTCTCATCCGATCTCCCTTCTAGCCGACGATGCCATACCACTCACGGTGACCGCTTAGCAAGTCTTGAAGAATGTATTTTGGAGATGAAGCTACAGAATGTTCACTCAGCTGTGGTATCTTTGATACAGGAAATGATTATCGGGATGCAAGCAAGGGAGACGGACACTACCCAGTTGCCACTTGCCCCAGCCTTGTATCATGGGGGCCTTGATCTTTTCAACTTTTAGTTTGCCTATTGAGCCGACCAAGTTGCAGTATGCGCGCCAGTCCGACTCCATTTGATTGCCTCAAACATGCTGGTTTCCATGCGACTGGTTTTTTTTATTTTTTATTTTTGCTTCCCCCAATGTTGTCTGGGCATCTATCGTTGGGTACAGGATTTACCGCAGAAGGCCCCATTATGGCTCAATACAACATATTCTGGGTCGAGTAATTAGATTGACTTCTTCTGGAGCGTCTTATGAATACTTACAAAGTTGATTTTGTAGTCACAAACTCTCTGAATACCGTTCTCTTCGGCGTAGGTCTGCTTAGCTGTCCAGGACCCTTGTTGCTCCTGCCCGTTGGATCGTTGATAAGTAGTTACACCCTCGATCTTCAAGACGAGTGGCGATGACTGGATCACATCTACCTTCTTTACATCATGAACACGTGAGACAGTGTTGTTCCAGCTGTCAACAATGTACTTCTTCAACTCTGTTGAATCCTGTTGTGAGTGTCTAGGAAATGTTGCCTGATATTGCAATTCTCAACCCACCTTCTGGGCCAACAGGTGACAGCTCGCCCTTATGTAGCTTCCCATTCTTGGTAAAGCAGTCAACCCAGGCGTCATGGGCAGCCTTCCGATCGGCAGCCTCATACATGAAATCAACGCCACGCTTCGTCTCCGGCTGCAGTGCCTTGGGGTCGTATTCGTAATCGAGGATTGCCATGATGAGATGGGTTAATGCAATGCGGAGGTTGCGTCTTCGTATTTCTAAGCTGTTATCTGATTCTGGTTCAAAGTGATACGAGCATAAGGCAAAGATGTTTGGAACAATTCACAAATTATAGGAATCAGGCTAGACGAAGGCCCTTAAGTAAGGATCACTCTGAGGGGGGACAGCATATCCTTCCGGCGAGCATTCCAACCCCCCTTCCTCTTCTCTCCCGCTTCCTGTCATACTGCCTCTCTATTCTCGAAGAGTATGTGGAGAAATCCACAAACACACAGCCGTTTGCGCGGAAGATGGCGCGTGCCTCCACTCTCAGTCGGACTTTTTACCGCCGGCGGCGTGCGTGAGACGCGGCCAGGCGGCCAAAAGTGCGTGGGGGCTTTCGCACATTGTCCGATACCCATCATCACTTCCTCTATGGCGGCTTACGCCATGTTCTTCCACATACCATTCACGCTGCGGTAGGCCTGTGGGTCGATTTAATTGCTTCGCTTCGGGGAGCCGCCGCCTTGTTTCCTTGGTTTTGATGAGGTTGCGTGGAGAGGAATCAGTACCTAGGTATAATTAAGACCATAGGGATCGCCTCCTCAAGGTAACAATACCATCAACGTATCTAGCTGTTCGCTGCCGAACGAACGCAGAGTCTGCTGTAAGACAATTTCCGGCCCGATAATTGAATTTGCCAATATCAACAACCCTTGGTTACCAAACAGTTTTAAACAGGAGCTGTTACCATGGCCACCCAGCATTGCGAATCCAGCATTCCCAAAGAGCCCACTCCTCCCGATCGCATGTCTAAATCCGAAATCGATGCCTCGCCACGAAGCATCCATACTGAAGATTCTGCAACAGCCTTTTTACATGAACATCGGGCAGAGTGGGCCGACTATAGCCCCGGCGAGTCCAAGAAGGTCCTCCGAAAGATCGATTGGCGATTGATGCCTCTCATTATCGGCACAATCACTATAGCCGCAGTGGATGTTGGTATCGTCTCTCTGCTTGCCTAGATTAACCCAATTTGACACGAAACTCCGTTTAGAAAATAATAATTTCGAATGCCGCCTTATATGGCATGTCCCGCGATACTCACCTGGTCGGGCAGCAGTATAACTGGGGTAAGCCACAATCCCATCGAGCCCTCTTCATAGTTTCGAGTAATGTCTGATTGTCGATTAAAGTCGGTTCCATTTTCTACTTTGGTTGGCTGGTAGCCGAGTATCCGGCGAATGCCGTGTTACAAAAATTACCGGTGGGCAAGTCTGTGGGCGGTGCTGTGATCCTTTGGGGCGTTGTTGTTATGTGCCTCGGTGCGGCCCAAAACTTTGCCGGCCTGGCAGTGCTAAGACTGATCATGGGCGTGTTGGAGGCTCCCTTGTTCCCTGCGGTCACCATCCTCAACACAATGTGGTACAAGAAGTCCGAGCAGCCCGTTCGCATGGCTATTACGTTCACTGCCTTCTCAAGCGTATGCTATGCTCTCTCCTTCCCGCTTCATGCATTGCTTACATGACTGACCTGGAATAGCTCGTCACTGGTATTGTATCCTACGGTATTGGCCGGTCGAACACGGCGGTCGCCTCTTGGAGGCTCCTCTTCCTTGTCATTGGCGGATTTACACTAGTCTGGGGCATTGTTCTCGTTATCTGGCTTCCAGATTCACCACTTAGAGAGAACTTCTTACGCGGCAAAGATAAATATATTGCTCTGGATCGAGTCAAGGATAACATGACCGGGATCGAAAATAAGGTACGGGGATGTCAACCATGCGGTCCCTTTTGCCACGATGATGCTGACTGCTCTACAGGAATTGAAGTGGTACCAGGTTCGAGAGGCTTTCACCGACTATAAGACATATATCTTGTTCTTTTTCTTCCTTAGTATAAACGTCCCCACTGGTGGGCTCGTTACTTTCGCTGCTCAGATCGTATCTGGCTTGGGTTACTCGTCCCTGAATACAGTACTGCTGGGAATGCCAACCGGTATAATGCAGAGTGTCGCCGGGTTCATGGTTGCCATTCCGCAGCGCTACATGACCAACAAGCGCTGCTTATCTTGCGCTATATGCTGCCTTGTTCCGCTGGCCTGCTCTATTCTTATCAGACGTAAGTTTCAACGGTACATGGCATATAGCAAAGGAAGTCCTAACTTTGAAACCAGTGTTACCACACGAAAACAAAATAGGAAGGCTTTTGGCCTATTACTTCTTCTATTTCTTTTGGGGACCTTGGGGCACGGGTTAGTATAGCTAATTTCTTATATGTTGACTTTTTGTTTAAGTCCAAGGCGCTGACCATATGGCTACAGGTCTGACTCTACCTATGGCAAACGTAGCTGGGCATACTAAGAAGTTGACCATTAACGCGACGGTATTCCTAGCCTATTGTATTGCCAACATTATTGGCCCACAGGTATTCATTGCAACCGAAGCACCTGATTATGCTACTGGTTATAACGCAATCATGGGCTTCGAAATTGCTGCCATTGCGTGCATGGCAGTTTATGCCACCGGCTGTAAGGTAGAGAATAAGATGCGCGACGCAAAAGAAGGCGCTGCGGGAGAGCTCTCTACGGGTCACCAGCTCGGCGATCTCACGGACTACGAAAAAAGGGGTTTTAGATACATCTACTAGACATGTATCTATCAGTAAAGGTGTAATAATTAAGCCTACCTAAGTAGATTTAATAACACTTCCTTAGTATATTTACTACTAAAGGAGACAGATATATCTTTATATTATCGCGCCTGATTTTCAACCTACCCGATAAGCGAACAATAGACTAGAGCATTATGTTTCATGTTATTGTAATAACAGTTTGGAATTTTATTCTAAATTAAGAAAAAGCCCCTCACCTAACTCAACTCTATTGGTGATATTTAACTCTACTTTTCCGATATAAAGCTCTAAGAGTATAAAACAGGTAGTTCGATCCACCACTTTTCAATTTCCTTGACTATTGCCTTGTGCGCCTGAACCCTTCCCTCCTTTGTGCTAGACCTAGTCTAATCCCAGTCTCCTAAACTAAAGCTCGCCTATAAAATTGACTATATCTTGCATACGACTCTTTTCTCTATTCTATCCTGCCTTGATATCGGTATACTGCTGTTCTTTATCCTCCGTGGCTGGAAGCGGTAGCTATTGTTCATGGTAGTCGTGGATATCAGGGAACTAGTCCCGCTGACTACTAATCTCGCCTATGCTCTTAGCAATATGGAACGGTGCGATGAGATCTACGGGCTGTATGCTGGGGGGACTGTAGAGGGTTAAACTGTGTCGTGGCCTCAGATCCGCTGTTTAGTAGAGCAGATGATTTGTTATCTGGAGCGGCGGGATCTTTACTGGAATTATATCTCAATGATATAATGTTAGTATATCTCTTTTGGTATGTAGATTGGAGGTTCGCGGTTTGCATAGCTTATATTGTCCCCATTATGCGGTGGGAAGAGTACTGTAGCTTACGTTGTATTTCTGCCAGACAGGGTTGGATGGTTGTGGTTCTGGGCCAAAAGCTAGATGAGGTGGTAGCGGCGGAGGTGTGGTGGAAACTTCGAGATATGACTCTCTAAGTGGTGAATCTCGCTGTATAGGCTTGGTAAATACTTTACGATTGGCTTGTTCTTGATGTCTTGGATACGGTTAGGAATAAGGTGGCTGTTTTCCTCCCTCAGTGTCGCGATAGTCGCAGTAGTAACAGCAAATTTACAAGAGAGGATAAAGGTAATGATAGTACCGCGTATGACCTATTTGTTGTTGGGTTCTGGTAACTTCTCCTCCTTGTTGTTGGTGCTGGGCGAGATGAGGCCACTGATGCAGTTCAGGAGAAGCGGGGCAGGCTTCTCTACCTTATTCGTACTCTCGATTGTGCTGGTGTATTTCTCTGGAGTGGTTTGTAGTACTAGAGCGTAGAACTCGTTGATGTAGAGCTTTTTGTTCTCTGGGAGGCTCTGTGACCCAAACTTGATATTAAAGCTAAATACGAAGAAATCCATATGGACGACACCTGACAAGGGCGGTCCCTGTAGAGTTATGGTGGCGTCAAGGTCGACATATATAGGAATACTGATGAGCCAAAGATCGAGCGTAAGTGCACGCCTACTATAGTACTGCCTCTGGCCTGGTATATGGATGGGCGATAGTTAATAAGGAAATCAGTGAAGGCGTCTAGGTAGGTATATAAGGTGCTAAGGGTTAATGTTATGTGAAGACTACTACCGCCCATGTATATCTTGGGTGTAATAGTAAAGTAAGCACTGTTAGTTATGTTTATGGACGAATTATAGCTCTAATTGATGCTCAGATGCGGCGGGTTTGGATATAGTGTAGGCTTATTATACGAAGGGTGTTAGCCTCTAATAGTAAAACCTAATCTCCTTGCTGTGGTCTGGGTGGGGCTGAACTACGTAGAGAGTACGGCGGTATAGAGCTAAAACATGGAGCTAAAAAACTGGAAGTTACTCAGATTTTTCCTAAATTTTCTAGACCTTTATTTTAAGCTATTATAGCCTGATAATCTATAAATAATACTGCTAATACTCCTAGCCCTAAAGGGGAACTAGAGCCTGCTAAGCTATAGTAGTTATAGCAGCCTGTAGCTACTGACCTGCAGTAACTTCCTATACCAGTAGCTCCTCCTCAGATTACTCCTATACTACTTATTATCCCCCTTCCTAATAACCTAGTTATTAATAATCTACCTGCTCCCCCTACTCCTCCTACTATTAATAATCCAGTAGTTATTAATCTTAATAATATCTAGTTTAGTAAGAAGTATAATAACCTAGGTATTACTAATCCTAGTAATAATAGTCTAGGAGCCTCTTATAAGATAGCTATAGCTATTAAAATCTTATTTATACTATAAGCTATATAGTATCTTCTTTATTTATAAAGTATAAGTAAAGTACTTTATTCAGATATTAATAATAGTTATTATCTAATCTTATCTATCTATATTCCCTATATATAGGCTCCTACTATTTCTATTTATTATATAAAATATAACTAAAGTAGATATTCTTATTCTATAGTAAGTTTTCTTAAGGTATTAGGTATTTATATACTATTTACTAATATATCCTATTTATAAATAGCCTCTTAGTATTATAAAAGAGAATATAGATAATTTTATATTAATTTAGAACTATCTTTATAAAGTATATAGGAGGTATATAAAAGTAGATAGTATCTTTTTAAATAACTTAGTCTCTAAAAGATATAAGGATAAATAGAACTTCTTATTTTTATATAGGATTTATATACTTATTACTAAAGCTTTACTCTAGCTAAATAAGTATTTTACTTAATTAGAAATCTAGACTTATTCTTAATAGTATCTTAATAATATTCTAAAAAACTAATAAATCTAATAATCCTTCCTTTTTTTTTTTTAGCTATTACTAACTATTTACTAAGCTTTCTTATCTACTATCTTACTAAAGAATAAAGTTATTATAGTATATTATAATTACTTATCTAGTTACTTCTTTTTAATATAGTAAATAGCTATATATTTTTTATCTAAGCCTTACTAATATTTCTCCAGACTAAAAAGATATATTAAGTCTATAATAACTAGTTATATTTTTAACTAGCCCTAGGTAATTATACTTATAGTACTTAGTATTAGGCTATAGTAGTTTATAAGTATACTCTTTTTAAAGTATTATTAAATAATCCTTATAATAAAAATAGAGAGATAAAAGGATCTTAGATAGCTAGATATATTCAGATTATTAAGTATCTTTATCTAGCTATATAGATACTTATTATTAAAATATCTTAAATAATATTTAATTATTTAGTCTATTTATTTAGTTTACTTATTAGTTTATAGATAATATATAATAAAGAGATATTATTTAATCTTAGAGTAGAAGTATAATACTAACTAGAAGTTATTTATAAATATAGAGCTCTAGTTTATTATAATCTCCTTTAGAGTACTATAAATAAGTTCTATATATATATAGAAAAGCTCTACTAGTTATATAGTAATAATTATAATTAATATAGAAAATATTAATATATACTTAATATATTAGTTTATAATTATTAGAATTATATTTTTTATTCTCTATTAAAATTAATTTCTAATAGATTAATAATAAAGTTTATAATTAACTTCTATATAGAACTTTTTAGTAAGAATAAACTCTCTAGCTTTTAATATAAATAGTACTATCTAGCTATTATACTCTAGTAGATATTATAATCTTAGATATACTCTCTAATATTAATATCTATCTAGTTCTAATAAAACTTCTATTTAATTAGATCTAGGATATAGTTAATTCTAAAATACTCTATAAAGAGATTATTATAATATATAATAATAATTTCCTAATAAACTATAAGCTCTCTAGGAATAAATACTTAGTTTTAGAATCTTAGTAATCTATTTATATCTAATTACTACTTAGGGTTTAAACTCTAATTAAGAGTTTTCTTAATTCTCTATAATTCTAAATCTATATTCTAAACTTCCCTTACTAACTATAATAGGAGCTATATAGTCTTTTTAATATATATTAACTCTCTTATTATTACTTCTCTTACTTTAACTTATTAGATTCTTTATTTATAACTAAAGATCTCTATAGTCTAACTAGCTTTCTTTAGAATTATCTATACTTTAATAAGTAGTTTATTTCTTATATAGATCTAAAGATTATCTTCTTAATAGATTACTATATTCAGTCTAAATTAATTCTTATTCTAATCTTCTTTAGCTTTTTATAGTAATTTACTTAGAATTATATTCTAAATCTTTCTTCTTAGAATTAGAAATAAGTTAGTATTTACTTATTTCTCTTTCTAATACTTTAGTTTCCTTAAAGAGCTATCTATAAAATTTACTTTTCCTATTCTATATTTAATTATAAAGTTATAGAATATTAAGTAGATATATTATCTAGCTTACTTACTATTTAGCTTAAGTTACTTAATAAAAGCTTATATATTCTAATAATTATTTAGAACCTTAGTAATCTAAATAATATCTTTAAAATAATATTATTAATACTTTAATAATTTTATAATAACTATTATCTCTTAGTTAGATATTCTATAATTTAGTTTAGAATCTTTAAATATTTATAATTAAAATATAATAGAGTACTATTTACTCTTATTATCTAGTTAGAATAGAATTTTTACTATTATAAAATTTAAAATATTAGTTTTAAGTCTTAATACTCTCTTTAGATTATAATATTATAAAAAAAATACTTTCTAAAACTTAATAATAAGCTAATAAAATACTAACTTTTTCTTAGAATTAAAAGCTATATTTCTATAATTCTAGCTCTTCTTAAATCTCTTTAAGAGATTATATAAGGGTTTTATAATCTATAAATACTCTTAAATAAAGTATCTATAGAAATTATAAAATCCTAGAAATATTTAAACTATATAGAATATTATAAGCTCTTCCTATTTATTAATAATTTAAATATACTTAAAATCTATTTTAACTCCTTAATCTAAGATAATAAACCTAAGAAAATTAACTTATTATTAGTAAAAAATATATTTTAAAGATTTAATATATAGTTTAGCTTTTTAGAATTATTCTAAAACTTATTTTATATACTAAATATAGAAGTTTTAATCTAATAAATAGATAAAAATATTATCTAGATATATAATATAAATAGTATTAAATAAACTACTAAGTATTTTATATATATAGTTCTAAAAAGTAATAGAGATATTAATAAAGTTAAATAATATAATTAGATACTTATAGTACTTATACTATATTTAAAATATAGTTTTCTATTTATTATCTTTCTTAATATAAATATAATAATAAGTATTCTTAATATTAATTTTAATAAAGAACTTTATTCTCCTAATATAGTTTATAATCTCTATAACTAGAGGTAATAAGTACTAATTCTTCTGAATAACTATATTAAGCTTTTAGTAGTTAATATAAAAATAGAAGCTCCTATTCTTCTTAGGAATAAAAAGAATAAGTACTCTAGTACTACTCTTAGAAGGATATATTTTACTCTTTATAAGATTCTTATTAAGATATTCTTAGAGCTTCTTTAGCTCTATAGGAGATAATAGATAAATAAGTCTATATAGGGAAATCTCTTTCTTTTTTAAATTAATTAAATAATTAGTAGATTTAGCTAGTAATAGTATATCTATATTTTCTACTGTAAATATATTATAGAAATCTTTAAATTTAGATAGTATATTATTCTTCTTTAGAGATATTATTAATAAATTATCTATTATTATAATAGATTTATCTAGTTCTAATACTATAATATAAATATAGATCTAGTTCTAATAGAACTTTATAAACTTCTAGAGTATATTAATTCTATATATAATTTATATATAGATCTTAATCTGGGTTTTTATTCTAATTTCTACTTCTAATAGAATATTACTCTAGATTAATATATTAGATTCTATACTAGCTTATAGGCTTTTCTCTAAATAGAAGTAGTATTCTATATCTTCCTAAATAAATAATACTCCTTAGTATAATAACTCTTCTTATAATAATTATAGTACTTAACTTTAAACTTATTAAAAGAAGATCTTTATTTCTTAGTAAGAATATTATCCCCTCTTAGTAGATTATTTAACTCTATAAATTATAGAGAGCTCTTAGAGTATAAAATATAATCTAAGGGTTAATATCTCTTATTACTCTCTATCTTATAATTATTATTACTACTATCTATATAGCTCCCTAATAAGTTTTTAAGATCTATAAAGTATTTAGTAGTTTTAATAGTATTTAATTAGCTTAATAACTTTTTTATATATCTTAAGTATATAATCTATATATAGATTAATATAGTTCTAAAGGGACTAAAGAAGTTTAATAAAGAAGAAATAAGCTCTTTTTTACTTAGGTTTTAGAATAAGCTATTCCTTAATTAGATTAAAATAGATATAGAATTCTTATAATAATTAGCTCTTCTTTTATAGGCCTTTTTAAAGCTTTAGTAAAAGTAGGATTTATAAATTACTATCTCTTTTAGAAAAAATAAGAACTATTTAATAAATCTATTCTAATTCTTTTTAATATTCTTACTTTCTTTAAATATATTTTATATATAGCTTACCTACTTTACTTAGTAATTTATACTTATATATTCTAATATAAGTAGAATATACTATTTATTATTATAGAATTTCTATTTTTTATCTTTAAAATTATATATAGAATTAGCTAGTTATTTCTCTCTTTTTTAGAGAATTATATTACTTTTAAAAGTAATTAGATTCTTTATTTTAATAATAAGTAATATATTATTACTAATAGATCTATTTTTATTACTTTCTAAGTTTTTTTTCTAATAGTATTAAGCTTATTCTAGAGTATAAACTCTCTTTTTAATCTCTTTTAGCTCTTTAAACTACTAGATATAGATATAGATTACTTTAAGTTTTATAGTTAGTACTATACTTATTTACTCTTCCTCTATAGTATTACTATATATAGGATCTAGATTACTTTTATATAGAGTAGTAGACCCTTTATCTATAGATTAAGATAGTACTAATATAGAGTATAATATATTATACTAATAAGCTTTTCCTCCTATTATTATTCTTATATAGATAGCTTAGAGAGAAGCTTTAGAATTATAATAGAGAGAATAATAATAGCTAGATATATCTAGAATATAGAGAAAAAGTAATATATTATTTTTACTAAAGCTTAAAGAATTCTAGTTTTAGTTCTATACTTTAGGGTATTTTATATAGGTCTAGGTTTCTAGATCCTAATCCTTAGATAGAGCTAGCTTAACTAATTATCTCCAGCAGATCTTTAGTATTTATATAAGCAGTCTATACTTATATATTATATTAACTAGATAAAAAATAACTTAAATTATTTATAATAGAACTATAATATAAAATAATACTAATAATAGATTAGAGAACTCTAAGAGCTATTAAAGTAGAGAGCTTATTTTATATTCTTATAGAAATATAGATTAAGAGGAATTAGTTTATATTATTTATTAACTATAGAATATAAGAAAATTATATTTTACTACTAATAATTAATTAATTCTACTTACTATAGAAAAAAAAAAGAAATCTATATAATTACTAATATTAAAAACTTAAAATTTAAATATAATAATAAAATTATTAATTTTAAAACTAATTATTTTATAATTATACTATAGGTATATTTCTTAGAATATTCTTCTAGATCTTTTTTAAAAATAGTATAGTATCCTATACTATAATATTAGTATATAAATTATTATATTTATTCTATAGTATATTTATTAGATACTTGAAAAAGCTAACCGAAGGCAGAAAGCCAGGGATATTTGAGAAGAAGATCGAGGTTTAAGGCTATAGTAGGACTGTCTGGAATACGAAACTTGTACCAAGAGACCTACGGATTATCTAGTCTCATAGCAAGACTTTTATCATTGTGAGTTAAAATTGTCTGAGTAAACACTCTGAGATGGTGCGATACCTTTCGACCTGACGCATTTATAGCACGAGCCTTAAGTGGGCGAGCTCGGACTACTGTTATACCTCTTTTGCTTGATCTCAACCAACTGAGTTTAGACACTAAACAAAATTATTCTACTCATCACTTTAGTTGAAGCGTGTAGGCCTATTAAAATATAGAAACCTTAATAAATCGGTCTAAAACCGCAAGTCCCAGCCGATCTGCGGACCTAACTTCGGAAGCTCATCGGCCACATTCTGAACGTCCTTGTCCCCGCGACCACTTAGGCAAATCACGATATTTTTTCCCTTTGGCATGCTCTTGGCTAATTCAATCGCGCCATAAATTGCATGAGAGGATTCCAATGCGGGAATGATCCCTTCCAGCTGGCTCATGAGGCGAAAACCACTTAAGGCTGCTACATTTGATGCTGCCTGGTAGGTAACCCGCTGGCTATCTTTCCAAAAACTCAATTCTGGCCCAACGCCTGGATAGTCTAACCCGGCTGAAATTGAATGGGTGTCTAGGATTTGTCCATGCTCGTTTTGGAGAACATACGTGCGTACCCCATGTAGCACCCCTTTTGAGCCAGTGGTCAGAGTGGCACTATGCCGTGCTGTGTTCAGGCCGTCGCCAGCTGCCTCGATGCCGAGGAGTGTAACACTTGGATCGCAAGAAAATGGATAGAAAATACCAGCTGCATTACTCCCACCCCCAACACAAGCTACTACGGCATCCGGAAGTCGGCCCGTTAGCTCGAGCATCTGCTGCTTAGTCTCATTACCGATGACAGATTGAAAGGTCCGTACTATCAAGGGAAAGGGGTGAGGCCCGATGGCAGAGCCGATGACAAAGTGCGTAGTGTCCAAGTTGGCCACCCAGGCTCTTAGTGCCTCATTGACTGCATCTCGTAAGGTCTTTGTCCCTGCCTCAACAACAAAGACTTGGGCACCAAGAAGCTTGATTCGGAAAACGTTTAAAGCCTGCCGTCTGGCATCCTCCTGTTCTTATTATCAGTAAATCTACAACCTTTTGATACAGTCTACTTACAGCGCCCATGTAGATGGTACATTTCATCCCAAACAAAGCGCAAATAGTTGCAGTAGCCACGCCATGCTGGCCAGCGCCAGTATCCGCGATGATCTCTGTCTTTCCAAGCCGCCTGGCAAGTAAAACTTGGCCTAGTGCATTGTTTATTTTATGACTTCCGGTATGATTGAGATCCTCTCGCTTGAGATATATGTTGGCGCCTCCAGTGTGTTCCGTAAGACGTTTCGCGAGGTGTAGACGGCTGGGCCGACCGATGTAATCGTAGTAAGATCGGTATTCCTCCCAGAAATCAGCATCATCTTTGACCTTACTGAAGCCTACCTCCAACTGGGTCAAACAGTCCACCAAAGACTCGGGCACATACTGCCCACCAAATTCTCCAAACCTCGGAGGTAGAATGTTCTCACAAACATCCAACGGATCCTCGTCGGCAACCCGGCGTAGCTCTACACCGTCCAAACGGGGAGAATTGACGCGCACTTCCCCGTTTTTGGACTGCAGGTCGTCGGGCGTATTCTCGCTCATAGTGAGTCCGCTTGTGATGCTATGGCTCGAGGTCTCACTGCGACCACTCACCTGGGCGCAAAATTGCTGCACCTTGTTGGCTTGCACGCCAGCGGGAGCCTGCGACACGATCTCAATAATCTTGCTTCCAATGACAACAGCATCGGCGATCTTAGCAAGATCGAGGAAATGCTCCCGGGTGCTAACACCGAAGCCTACTGCTAGAGGAACATTTGCTGAGTATCGCTTCACTCTAGCTAGAAGCTCAGGGAGACTCGCACTCAAGGTTCCCGTTGCTCCGGTGACACCCATGCGAGAGACGATATATATAAAAGAGTCTGCTAGCTTGCAAAGGAGTTTCATTCGATGATCAGATGTAGCTGGGGAGATCAGCGGGATGTAAGAAAGTCTTATATCAGAGTTAGCGAGGACGTGAATTTTGATTGAAGCTACGTACCCTTCCTGAGCGCAGAAGTCCCTGAAGGTAACGGCCTCCTCAGGAGGTAGATCAACAACAATAAAGCCATTGATACCGACTTCCTTGCATTCTTGGAGTAATCGTTTCTCTCCATAAGTTAGAAAAGGATTATAGTAGCCCATTAGAAGGACTGGAGTCGTCAAGCCTTTGCTGCGAGCATCTCTAACCAACTCCAACACAACGCGAATAGTAACACCACTGGAAAGCGCTTCCTGTACGGTTTATAAAGAACCTGTTAGAATAATCTCTGTGAGGATTGGAAGAGACAAACAGTGTTGGCCCTCTGAATTGTAGGCCCGTCTGCAATCGGGTCTGTAAACGGAACCCCAAGTTCGATAACGTCTGCCAGATTAGCCAGCTGGGAATCTAATAGCCGGTTAGAGTGTAAAGAGGTACCTGCACCACCAGCTTGTAGTCCAAGCAGGATCTCAACTGATGCTTCAATACTAGGATAACCGGCGGTAAGATATGTCACCAGAGCTGGCTGTGTTAAATGTTGTTAATAACCATCAACCACCCAACACTTAGGGGTAGCATGACTACTATTCACATACCCGGCCTGCATTCCTGCATTTTTCGAACGTCTTTTTTAATATCTCCATGGCGTAAGATTTGAATGGGCTGAGGGCAGACTGCACTAACTAGGAGGCAGCTTGCGGAAACTTATAGTGCAATCCTAGTGGAGAAGGCCCCTCTTGCTAGCACGCAGTAGTAGTTTTGCTCTGTCATGGCCGGCTCGGAGCTATTCCGCAGGCCTAACAGAGCACTAGTATGGCCGGCTCGGAGCTACTCCGGGCCTAAAAGAGCACTCGTAGCGAAAGATTAGTATCTTTTAGATACAGTGATAATCTGAAGAGCACGAAGGGCAGAGATTATAATATTAGCTACTAGAAGAAGCACATATACCTGAGTGAGAAGCCGAGCGTTTTAATATTATAAATGTTTAGATGAGGATCAATTGGACTAGCTCTATCTGGACTACCAACTGGGATCCTCTGTAATTCGTCAAATTATATAAGAAGGGCAAATTTTAAAATGCTTAGCATTACTTGTCGTCCGATAAACTTTAACTAGCTCTAGCCAACATGGACGTCATAATAGAGGGGACACTCGACCCAACAATTAGAGTGAGCGAATCTGAGCGCCTCGGACTCGGGGCCAAGTCCCATATCAGGGTTACATACTATATCTGAAATGAATATTTTCATAGTCTGTCATATCCATTTCGGCATTTAGGCGGCCCTGATGTTCAGCTTCCTGCTTCGTTAAACCCATCGCCTCAACGGCCTTATCTCTACGCTTATTCTCCCACATGTCTAGAAGGCGTTAGCAATGATGATAATTAGAAATTACAAACAACGAACTCACAGTAGGCTCTCCAGCAAATCATGATAACAATTTCTAGCCCATACATGGTAGAGCAAACAACAATGGCAGGAATATACAAAGGAGCATCCTGCGCGCGAAATACTTGAGCGCCAATCGAATTTCCGGCGCAGTATGCAACGAAGAGAACGGTGCTGGTAACAGACTTCTTGGTGCGGCCAGCGATGTTTGAAGGCACCAAAGTCCAGATTACTACGCCCTTAGCAATATGCACCTCTCAAATTGAAAAAAAAAAAAAAAAAAAGAAAGAGAAAGAAAGAAAAAATGTGACTTACGAGGGCCAGCGACATTGCCAAAAATAGTGATTAAGAACATTGCCCATCGAGCCCAGAGGTAGCCCGTTTTTGGGAGCAATGCCAAAGCCAACATACCGACAAAGGAGGGCACTACCGAAGCCATCATAAACAGGACTACACCATGTTAGTTGTTTCTTTTTTTTTTTTTCTTTTGGGGGGGGGTTAGGTTATCGATTGGTCTTACAGCGAGTGTTAGGCTTCTTCAAGGTGAAGTAACCGACAATGATAAAAAAAGTAATCGAGACCAATTGCTGGGGGATTTTGCCTTTGACAATGGTATCCAAAGCAGAGAAGCCGAAAGAGACGTATACAAGGTTGCCAAATGAGGTCGTACCACCGTTTGGAATAGAGTTGACGAGTACTAGGAAGAATAGGAAGTAGGTCTGCGGGTCCTTGATTGCAACCTTGACCTGATCCCACTTCCATTCGGCTCGCTTCTGCGCATCTGTGCCCGTCTGACTATCCACGATACGGATAGCCACCATGCGCTTCTCTTCTGGATTGAGCCATCTGACCTCTCTTGGTGTCCCAAAAACGTAATAAGTGATGAAGGAGAGAACGATGGTCAATGAGCCCAGGAACAAGGAGATACCCCTCCAAGCAGCCAGGCCTCCAGCATGCTTCTGAGCCTCCATTCCTATGCCGTAGTTGATCAAACTAGTGATAATATCCATCCCGGAGTTGGAAGAACCCCAGATAACGGATCGCATAGCATGCTCACGCTTTGTGTAGAAGGAAGCTGTAAGGATCAAAAGTGCAGGGTACGTAGTACATTCTAGCATGGTGTTAGCCTCGCGGTCCCTGAGACGTAGTTAACTCTCCTTACCTGCTACGCCTTGTAGAAAACGAAGAACCATTAACTGTGTAAAGTTTTGAGCAAAGGCTATGCAGAGGACAATCACGCCTATTACAAGGTTTAGTACAACTTCATCAAGGCCTTAAAAGCAAAACAACATACCCCAGATAAACATCGATATAGCCACAGTAGGGCCTAAGGCGAGTCTCTGCAAGACATAATTGGCCGGTCCCTCAGAAACAAGGAAAGAAATATAGAATATCGTTGTTAACCCTGATTTGCTGATCAGTGGCTAATCTCCAAGCAAAGCTCCCCAAGTCACGCACATGAGTATTGCTGGCCCACTAAGCCGGTATCCTCGCGGAGGCCGAAGGTGGCTTGCGTAGCAATGGATACCTTATCCGCGAATTGGGTCCCAGATGCTACCTATCCCAAGAGGTCAAAACGTTGGTTGCTCACTGGCTGCAAGGGGGGATTGATACTTACCCACATGGCAGGGAGCAAAATTCTGTCAACCTTCCACAGCAACTTCCGAAGTTGCTCAGCAGAGAACTCATGTTGCTCAGCCGCGTTGACAACATCTTCCACATCCAAGTCCGCCTGGCCCTCGGCAACTGAGAGCTCCGGTTTGGTATCTATTTCGTTTTTGTCAGGCGTGGAAACAACCTGGGCATCATTGCCGGCTTTCTGGGTAGTCATGGTGGTATGATAGGGTGATCGCTCAGTCCTGCGCCTGTAGATTTTCAATGGTTAGACATAACAAGATGGCGAGAGCTATCTTCCTATATCACCTTCGAAATGGTGCCTACCCCAGGCCTACCCCAAGCCATCTCCGCATCCCCAGATAAAGAGTTTTGTCTAGTGCATCCTGATGGATGTCCGGGCGGATCTCATCCGCCCGAACCTCCGGCTCAGTTGGCTGTGGTCTCATGACTCGTCGTGGATGGGTCCTTGGCATCCGCGGATCTCCGGAGTTGGCCGCAACCAGGGCACGAAGATAAAGGTGCCCGGAGGAGGAGGACTTCAAGGCGTTATTGAACAGTTGAATCATCCACTCTAAGCCTAATCGGCGCTGCCTTATTATCAACCCTTGAAGGAATTGCCGCAAACATGACCAGCATCGCCACCAATGTACCATCCGCTCTCGACCTCTCGCATCACATCAATACGCGCTCGAGGAGCAGGCACCCAAGCCCTCTGAAGGATATTCTGCAGTTCATGGCGTATGAAGGCATGATCAGCTTATCTGGAGGTTTGTTGAGCCCCTTCGGCAATGGAACTTCAATGTACACTTGACACCTAATCAGGCTAAATGTTGAAGGCTTGCCACATCCATCACTATTCCCCATCCGCCAATTGTCATTCACTGCGCTCAACTCTTCGGGAAAATCCGGTGAGTTGATAGAGATCGAGTTGTCCGATAAAAAGGAGGATCAGGACCCTCTGGCAAAATTTCTCCAATACGGTTAGCTGTCTCCTACTGATTTTTTTGGGGCCAGAATTAACATATACCAAGGCAACTGCAAGGGAAATGATACCCTGCGAAATTGGTGTTTAGACTTCACTGCCAATATTCTCCGGCCGGCATACAATGATTTCGAGGTTCTTCTGCATCCTGGGAACACCAATGCTTGGAGTAAGGTCGTAGCGCTTCTATGCGAAGAAGGGGAGCATATTCTTTGCGAAGCTGTTACGTATCCTTCGGCTCAAGCTTTATGGATCCCGGAAGGATACTTCGCTGCTCCAGTGGCTATGGATGGGCAAGGAATAAGAGATGATGCGCTCGAGGACGTTCTATCCACTTGGGAAGAGACTCATCCGGGCAAACGCAGGCCCCATGTGCTTTATCTCGTGAGCGTTGGCTCCAATCCCTCGGGTGTGACAATGGGCGCGGAGCGACGGAAGAAAATTTATGACTTAGCCGTCAAATATGGCAAGTATCTCCGAGCTCTAGGTTGGTATTATGAAGCTTACCAAGTCAGACTTTATCATTGTCGAAGACGACCCCTATTTCTTCATCCAGTTCCCCGACTACGAAATTAATGCCAAGACCGCGGCCGCTATGGTATCTAATGAAGAGTTTGTTACATCACTGGCACCTTCATTCCTTCACTTTGACTTCCAAGGACGAGTTATCCGGCTGGATTCGTTCAGCAAGACTCTCGCCCCAGGCATGCGACTAGGCTATTTTGTCGCCAATCCAATCTTTATCGAACGCCTTTTGCGGGCTACCGAAGTTGAAACCCAAGATCCGTCTGGCCCGTCTCAGGCCATCGTTCTTTCGCTTCTTGAAAAATGGACTATGGGGGGATACTTAGAATGGCTGCAAAATCTTCGACTGCAATACATGCGACGGCGAGACTGTATGATCGACGCATTTTCGCAGCACTTCCAGCTTGTTCCAGCTGCTAAAAGCGGCATTCCTGATGCATTTGGTATCGTGGCATTCCTACTTCATAGTGACGGCCAAGGCACGACCCCGATATTTAGTTTCGTCCCTCCCAGTGGGGGGATGTTTATTTGGGTTAATTTCTACCTTTCAAAGAACCCACGATTCAAGCAATTACAAGCTGATTCATCGATTGCTGACCCGGAGGACAAATTTTCCGGCGAACTCTGGAGACAGTGGATTGATGCTAAGGTATGAAAATGAATCAAGTGGGGGAATAAGTTCTCACTGATATTCTCAGGTTCTCCTTGTGCCCGGCTGGTATTATCACCCTTGGCAGGGTGAGGACAAGAAGTCCACTAAAGCCAGAGCAGCGGCTCCCGAAACATCGAATTTTCGGTTCTCTTATTCAATGCCAAGCGTTAGTTTTTCATCTATCTCCGCATTAAGCATAAGCTAACCCTGGAGTAGGAAGAGGAAATACAACAGGGAGTCAAGCGATTTGCTTCGGTGGTCAGACACTCATGGGAGCTGTGATGTAAATCAATTTTGTCATCGAAGTAGAAAATATCAGACCTCGATACCTTGATGATTCCTTGATCCATTTCTTCCTAGGATGCTTCGTATTTCTCTTATGAGAGAGGGCTGCGTAGACCCAGGTTCTTCACACACTAAGCTCCCATTTTCTCATAAGATTAATGTGGTGCACACGCAACGATTAAAAACACGTACCCTGTATATGCCCTGATCTCCAAACTGCGGTAATTATTTTAGCTCGCAGAAGAGAGACTCATGCGTTTGTTAAGCTGCTGAGCTCCATGGTGGAGAGACATCATGTCCACTCTTAGGATGCCTCGCTCTTAGGCGCAGGTCGTTCAGAATAAATCTATAATCGACCACACTTTTAACAAAGTTACGACCTCTTCTAGAGGGACTACAAGCTACACATTATAAAAGCATTATACCAGATCATAAAAGGGACATCCAAGGTATTTCAATTTGCAGAGAACTGATGCAACTATCTCTGGATAGGAATGTCCTCTTGGAGGCCAGCACCTTGCTTAAGCAGCTTTACCGTTAGAGCACCAGCTTCTGCATTGTCGCCAATGGGCTCAATTGGGGTGAGCTTGTGTTCTCGACCGGAAGCCATGACAAATTTCGGTGCGAAAAATGCATTCAGATCCTCCAACGGGTTTCCAGCGAAGGCGACGAGATCAGCCGCAAGTCCAGGTTCCAGCTTGCCAGTCTCGCCTGCCAAGCCACAGACTTCAGCTGCCACATCGGTCGCCGCCGCAATCAACTCCCGATTTGTATACCCTGCGTCTGCCATCACGGTAAGACCGTCGGCATAGCGTTCAAAACGACAAAGACCAATGCCTGAATCGGTACCCATGAAGATCTTGATATTGGCCTTTCGTAGGGATACCCAGTTGTCTACTACAACAGCCCGCTTATCCCATGGGCAAAAGTAATGCTTCTCGATGCAAGCGCTATTCATCTTTGTATGGCCTATTAGTGTGCTGAAGGAGCAGTGGATACATATGGACTCATCTTACCGTTGGGCACACAGCTATGTTGTTGTCTAAAAGCTTCCGGGCGACATCGGCATCGAAAACAGCCCGGCCCTCGCGGTTGATCCAGGCACAATGTTCCACCGTGTCGAAGTTGGCATTTGCCACGCGTTCGATGCCTTCAATACCCATAGCATGGGCAGTGACTGGAAGATTGAATTTTCTGGCTTCATCCTTGATGGCATTCATCTCCTCTTGTGTGAAACGTGCCTGGGATGGGTGTGAGCCGGCTGTCATGAACCCCCCGGTAGACATGACCTTGATGAGATCAGCCCCCTCGGCTGCTCTCTTCCTGACCTCTTCTCGAACACCTTCAACGCCCTCGCAAACTCCACCCATGGCGTGGCAATGCCCTCCGGCCACTGTCAAGGGGGCATTGGCGCACTGCAGGCGTGGTCCAGGGACCTCTCCGGCTTTAATTTTATCGCGGAGGTGGACGGCCGTGATACCACGTGAACCTAGGTCGCGTGCTGTTGTTACACCGGCATCTAAAAGTCGCAGCGCATTGGTTTGCATAAGGGGAAGTAGCTCGTCGTCTGTTAGAGTGATAGCGGTGGAGGTGTTAATCTTTGAAGGGTCCATCTGCAAATGTACCTATATTGCTGTTAATCTTTTAGGTTTCTGCAATGACTAAAATTGGACTCACATGGCAGTCGAAGAGCCCCGGCATCAACGTCACGTCACCAAGGTCCCTAACGGTAACGTCTCGGGGGAGAGAAGGCTGTATCGTTCTCCATGGTCCAACGTTGTCGATTTTGCGATCGCGAACAACCACCACACCGTCGTTTATCAGCTCATCGCTGCTGCTGCAGAGTAACCGCAGTGCTCTGAACGCAATAGCCATGGTATGCAGAATAACTTGCCAGTGTATCTGAGCGTGTCTTTGGGAACTTTGATATTGATTGAGCCGGGGGTTAAATGCGTCCAGTTGCTAGTAAGTAAGCCATTTGTGAAGATGCTTCCGCCGTTGGTCAGCCGGATGAGATCCGGAAGCGAAGTGAAGATACCCCGGAAGAGATCCGCGGAAGCAGGCATAAGGTTTGCTATGCCCCACCAGGTCCTAGAAGGTTTTGCTGGGCATGGAGAAAAAACAGAGAGCTCTCATCGAATTAAACTCTTAAAACATAAACGCTGGGGGCTTCTGACGCGAGAATTCTTTCACATGAACTGTTCATTGGAGTAGATTGGTTATTATTCTCACCACCTTTTGTTGTAGTCACGTCGCCCACTTCTGCACCGCGCATCGACCATGGCCAAATCCCCGGTGGTAGACAGGGCTGGTAAAACGCGACTGCGTGAATCGCTTGAGCGGGCAAAAAGGGGCCAAGGCCCCAGCATTGGGCAATGGCTTGAATTTCCCGGCTACTCACTTGCCAAGACGGTGGCACCATTGGGGGAAGATGTGAGTGCCCCCCTCGTTAACCCATATATTGTCTCTTGCTGATACCAATGAATGTCCATACATAGTGGGTTCTGATCGACACCGAACATGGAAACATCACAGACAACGAGATGGCTCTTCAGGTCGCAGCTGTTGCGTCGTCTGGAGCCTCACCTATCGTACGTACAGTAGGATCAGAGCCCTGGATGATAAAACGAGTGCTTGACTGTGGGGCTCATGCCATCATGGTGCCAATGTGTGAGACCAAGGTATGGGGCTTCATCCCCCCCCCCCCAGCATGTGTTGGTTGTCCCGGCTCGACTAAGACGTATATCAGGAGCAAGCCGAATCGATTGTACAGTGCTGCAAGTACCTGTCCCCCCGCTGGCCTCAAGGAAACCGACCCGCCGGAGCCATGTTTGCCCCCCCTGCCTTCTCCCAAAACGACCGAGAATACCTTTTGACTGCGAATGAAAACGTCATGGTATGCGTCCAGATTGAGAGCCGGAAAGGTGTGGAGAACGTGGAGCGGATTGCTGCGGTGGAGGGCATCGACATGATTTTTGTCGGGCCCAACGACCTTGCGGCATCAATGGGACATGTAGCCTTCGACCACGAATCTATCCCGGAGGTGCAGGAAGCCATTGCACATGTACTCAAGGTCGGTTTAGCAGCAGATAAGTTTGTTGGTCATTTTGCAGTCAATGCCGAGGCAGCGGCCAAGAGGATTCACCAAGGCTTCCATTTCGTAAACTGCGGTGCAGATATTGTAGCTCTTACAGCGTGGATGACTGGCGAGATGGGCAAGCTCAAGCATTTGGTTGGCATTGATTCCTGAAACCTCAATCATAAAGATCCATAGAGAAAATCATTCGACTAGACGAGACTATATTTACTTGGCCGTATTTCAAAAGGGCTCCTTTCCATTCCTATACAACAGTCGCAAATAGACATTGCCTATGACCGGAGGAGGGCGTCATTTGATGCGGGGCAATAAGCTGCTCGAAATCACGTGCGTCGAGGCTCCGTCTCCACTCGTTGCCCATTTGTTGGGCCCGCAGAATGCGGGAGGCGGATAGGATCTCCTCCGGTCAACGTGACTACAATGGACCAGGTCAGCATGTCTGCCTCCGTACTACCAACCCCCAATAGTGGCACTCGGATCTGGAGAGCATGCGAAAATTGCCGAAAGAAAAAGGTGGGTTCTTCTCCCGTTACCCGGTGCGGTCGGGCCCTCACCATGCTGATACTCAAATATCCACGTGCAGACAAAGTGTAACGGTGTCACGCCCTGCAGTTTCTGCAGGGACCGTGGGCTGGAGTGCACTTACCCAAGCGCCAATGACAACGCGTCCCGGAGTCGACAGTACGATACTCTACTAGTCAACAACCTAGGAGCTTTCGCCTGGCTAATCTAACACTTCAGGGATGCAATCAACCTGGGCATTCAGTACGACCGGCTCGACACTATATGCGAGCGCATGGAGCAGATGATGGCGCGGCTTACAACGGCCGTCGCTGTAGTCGAAGAGACGCCCAGTGTTGCCATACAGAGGCCCACATCGAGCAGATCCCAGGTCCCAGGCCTCCCTGATGAGCATTGGAGCCCTGCGGAGAGTGAGCAACGGCCAGTTGTTCCAGCTAGCTTGGAGGACGAGTTACAAAACAAGAATCTCGCAAAGGTTTCCAACCTTCTGCAAGATGCAAGAAAGATTCATAGGTCCATGTTCCCCTTCCAGGTCACTATCACAACATCAACTAAGATCTAACAGATTCGTTGGTGCCGCAAGCAACGCACTGTCCGTAAATCTCATCCAAGCCTCTGCAGCACATGGGGCAGCGGGAGATCGTGACCACGGTTTATCCAATCTGTTATCGGCGGCGTTGTACGGGGCAAGCGAAAACGAACCCGGTCCCCGTGTTGCGTTAAAGGATTGCAAACCCCCTCCGCGCTATATGAGCGATCTTCTTGTTAACCTTTTCTTGACGAGACTCAACCCAATGTTTCCAATCCTTGATGCACGAGATTTCACTCTGCAGTATATGGAATATTTAGGTCGCAATGTGACGGACCAAGGGCCAAGTCCGTTCAAATCGGTTCTCTACGCTGTTTACGCATGCGCTGCCAACATGCTGTCTGTTGCTCGTGGGACACACGTGAGTCATGATGGGACGGAGTACTTCGAGCTCGCACTGTTTAATCATTACCAGAACTTGAGGCATTGTGGGGTAGAGGAAGTCCAGTGTTTGGCCATCCTATCCACATGTGCTGCTAGTTGGAATAATCTCAGCGAGAGCTGGAAGCTTGCTGGCCAGGCTGTTCGGGCGGCCCAAGACCTGGGCCTGCATATTAACTTCGAAGGGTGTGAGAACGACCAATCACGATCGCGACTTTGGTGGTGTGTTTTCACTCTAAATAGCTGTTTATCTAGTTGTCTCGGCCGGCCGGCCGGGATTGTCGAGACAGATTACAACTGCAGGGTTCCTGATGTTGTTGAAGAAAGCCCCCTCTCTGCTACAAAAGGCACCCCATCGCCCGGGCAATCGATAGCAAGCGAGGATGTATCGATAACAGGCTTCTACAGTTTGGCCCAGGCCTGTCGTATCCTCAACGCTATCAATTATTACACGCAGGACCTGATGTGCGGCGTTTCATGCGCCGAGCTTGAGCATCGTTGCGTTAGAGAAGACCAGGCTATGGTATTGGAAATGCGGCTCTCCGAATGGGTCCAGGAAAAGCTCCCGTCGTCGATAAAATACGCAGCGAATGAGCCGGAAAGGTATGGCGGCATGAATTTAGCCATTTGCACGATCGCATTCATGCTTCACGCCATTGCCGTTATTAACCTCAATCTGTGAGTGTGCTAAAATTTGCAACTGGCAGGGAGTCTGAGTTTAATCGTATAGTAGCCCGCTCATAGAAGAATGGGTTGTCGATAGCAGCATGCTCGAAATGCATGAAGTCGGTGGAGGAGGCAGTGTGTCCAAGGTCATTACCGCGGCCAGGGGGGTCATCAAGGGATCAGAGCTGATCGGCTCGAACATCCCACCATCTCATTACCTTTCGCTCTGCGTACACCTATTGTATATATCAGGTTTCATTCTGTAAGTCCGGCCTCTCACGAGGCAGAAATTCGCTAACCGTGAGCAGCCTTAAAGCATTTCAGGTGTCGCGGAGCCCGAAGGCTGTTGAAGATATCCAAAAGTGTGTAATGCGGTTAGCTCAGCTAGATGAAGTCTATCCAGGTGCTCTGCAGCGTAGCCAGTCACTGCAACAGCTTCTCCATAGTGAAACTGTTGCTTAATACTCCATAGAAAATACACGCAAATGGATATCACAAGCTTCACGTTTCAGATATGTTATCCTTCATTTTAAGTATTGATTATAAAAATATTTCCCGGGATGAATAGATACAGCAGTAGAAGGAAGGGCCCTACGGGTAGCACTTACAGGATGAGTGTTAGTCCCAGCGTCAATGTCTGAACAAAACAGACGAGCCACAGTTGGCGATAGCATAATCCAACTATTATCTAGCAAGGATATATACAGGATCCCTGAACTTAAGCAATCAATTCATCTACCAACAGCCTTCAGTCAACTAATGACGACTGCTCACGCTACTAGCCCGGGCCCACACGCACCGACTGACTTGGCAAAGATAAGCATCGTCTTATGGTCCCAATGCTGACTTGGGTATATGCCTTTCTACGCGGTGGGCCGTGATCGTTTTTCGGGCATCACATATATCGATCTAAGCACCCCAAGTATCCTATCCGGTGTCTATCTAGACTACGGCTATGATTGGCTCGACCGCCTAATAGTACAGCTATATATCACAGCTTTCGACTTACATTAGCCAATGCTCAGCATTCCACAGAGCAGATATACAACATAGAGCTACATTATCTGCCGCACTACTTCTCCCTCTCGACAGGATGGGCCTTCCGTTTCCCAAGATAGCTAGGGTGGCGAAACTCCTTCTGGACCTCCACGTTGGTTCATCCACGCTAACCAAATTCTGATATTTCCTTTGATGGAGACACGGAGTTTAATGGGTACCACGCCACAGCAATAGAACAAGATAAAAGACAGCAACGCCAATTTTCGTCCTCGAAATTTCCATCACTCTAAGCCTATATCCTCCATTACTACTCATTCAATTTACGATGATTGTCCAAGACCACCAAATTCCAGCTTCAGCTTCAGCTGATGCCACACTAAAAAAAGGGGAACAAGTAACTGATACTATGCTCGTTAATGGGTCCGACGGTCATGCCGAGAGCCTGACATCCGCAGACCGACAAAGAACCATCGTTGGCTTTCGTTGGATCGTTATCTGTATTGCCATATTTTCGGCCAACCTACTCTATGGCCTCGATACGACGATTGCGGCCGATATTCAGGGGGCCATATCTGAAACCTTCAATAATGTCACGCAGCTGGGTTGGCTAGGCGTCGGGTTCAACCTCGGTTCTACGGTTGCCATTTTGCCTGTTGGTAAAGCGTACGGCATCTTTGACACCAAGTGGTTGTACATAATCTGCCTGATTATGTTTGCTGCTGGGAGCGCTCTATGTGGCGGCGCGCCTAATATGAATGCTATGATCGTGGGGCGAATATGGGCTGGGGTTGGAGGTGCTGGCATGTATCTTGGGTAAGTCCTAAGACCACCGTGCGTACTTTTTTAGCCTACTGACGGGTTATCCAGAACCTTGAATCTAGTGACAACACTATGTGCCCCCAGCGAAGTCTCGGTTTATGTTGGACTCATTGGCTTCGTGTATGGAGGAGGCTGCATCTTGGGTCCAATCGTTGGCGGGCTCCTCGCTGACAGCGCAGCCTCTTGGAGATGGGTGAGTGATGTTGTCTGCAACTCTGATTTCATGATCGCTTATTTCTCCTCTTCTCAAGGCATTTTATCTGAACCTGGTCATTTTCGGAGCTATGGCCCCTGTTTACTTCTTCATGCTCCCTTCGGTACCAAGACAGGTTGACCGCACATTCAACCAGAAGATCTTTTCACTTGACTGGGCCGGTACTGTCCTCAGCGCGGCAATGTACACATGCTTTGTCCTAGCTTTTGCATTCGGGGGGGTGGCGTGGGCATGGAACGATCCCCGCGTCATATCACTCATAACCCTCTCCGCACTCTTTCTAGTTGCCTTTGGCACCAGCCAGCGCCTCGCTCTTTTCACCAACTTGGCTGACCGTCTGTTTCCCTGTGATTTCTTGGGCGACCTTCAGCTTGTATTGCTCTATGTCTGTATGGCGTGTGGTGGAGCGGCGTTGTTTGTGTCAATCTACTACATCCCGCTATACTACCTGTTCGTTCATGGGGATACTGGCCTGGAAGCTGCCATACGCTTACTCCCGTTCATCTGTGTGTACGTTGCAGCCGTGTTGATGGCTGGGTACGCAATACCAAAGACGGGGTACCACATGATTTGGTATCTCGTCAGTGGGATATTTCTTACGGCAGGCGGAGCGGCCATGCTTACTGTGAGTCCTAAAACTCCGGACGCGCACGTCTATGCATTCTCTGTGCTGATTGCGCTTGGCTTGACTGTATGCCAAGCGAGCTACTCCATCGCGGCGCAGTTGGTGAAGCCGGGGCGGGAGCCAGAGTCAATCCAGTTCTTGAACATCAGCCAGGGCCAGAGCCAGTTGCTAGGGCTAGCGATTGCAAGTTCCGTTTTTCAAAGTATAGCGTTCAATGGCATGAAGACCGTATTAGATGGTATGGGGTTCTCGGACGCGGAGATTCAGACGGCTATTGCAGGAGCAAAGAGTGCCTTATTGGAACGGGTCGATGATGAGGTGAGACAAAGGTGCACTGAGGTCATCGTTCAGGCAGTAAGGTATGAATGGGTGCTCGTGATCGTAGCGGGAATCTTGCAAACCATTTGCTCATGCTTCCTCACACGGAAGCGAAGCACGGCTGGCCAGTTTAAAGAGGCGGCCAACTAGCGCTCAGGGATTTCAAATTCCGCGCGGTATAGAATTTACGCTCGATCTGGCCACGACCAGGTAGGCGCTGTATTGTTCTGTATATAGTAGGTTAATGTCTAGTAGGAGAGGATAAATATATGGATGGAAACCTTGTATCACGATACCTGCACTTCTGTAGTAGGTTATATGAAGGCAAAGGCTTGGCTAAGATCTAGGTCTTGGCTGTGTCTGTCTCTTGCATAGATAAAGTAGGATGAACCCCTGTTTTGAGAATGGCAGTGCACTATAGTTTTAATTTATACTAACTCGAAGTGTTATATTCCAAGCATACTGATTTTATAGCAAGTATAAATATTTGCAACTTAATCTAGATATTAATTAAGGAATATACAAGGCGGCTTGATTATAGTATTAGTTATAAAGCTAACTTATATAAGTTATCTTATAGATAATATTACTCTATTTATCTAAGTATACTAAGAGAAAACTCCTAGCGAATATATTACTATTAGTATTAAGCAGGTAATAGGAGAATATTATTATCTACTGAATTAGGCGCGAGACGGTATAGAGAATAGCCCCTCGGAGATTGGTATTAACTCTCCTAACTTAAGTTTACATTTTTTTTATATAATTGTAGCTAGTATTGCAGCTAGCTAGCAGTGGAAGGGACTAGAGGGATCTAAGAGGTCAGGTTAACGCTAACCTGATTGACCCAATGGTGAGGTGGCAGCGCCGTTACATACGGCAAAAGATATAACAAATAAGTTTGCAGAATAGGGTTTGGCCATTTAAGTAGGATCTCGAGAGTTAGTCAGGAAACAATCTGATCGTTTTGGGCTTTTTGGTTGTCCCCTGTACTGGCCAGCTGAGCTTTGCAGCGCGCTTAGAGTTGAGCTCTGAGGCATGGTTTGAGCAAAGACGGCATTTTCTGACGGCCTCTGGTCTCAATTTTCGAGGCTTTGCATCATTGTGAAGTTTGAGAAAGAGCCCGCATGAGTTGCAGAGAGGCTGTCCATCAGAGCCCTCACGCCATACTGGTGAAGCCTGCGTCAAGCAGTTTGTACATGCCTTCGGATCATCACCATCTGCTGAGCCTCCGGTGTCTAATGTTGGTTCAGGCAATGAGGAGTCTGAAGTTGACGCAATAGACAAGTCGTATTTATTCCTGCCATGAGGAGTGCTCGAGAGGAATTCCTGAGCAGCAGGCAATGTGGTTTGCGCGTTTTCGTCTGTTGAATAAAACCATGTTAAGAATGATTCGCAGTGGACTGCTGACTTGTCATGGATTTCGCTTATGTCGCTAAGCTTCTTTGGCGCGTCTTTATCGCGCGTAAAGTTTTGTGTGTTAAGTCGACCGTCATGAGAAACGTCCCGTTGCGAGTTGCAGCCCAAGATTTGTACCTCTTGCTCGCTCACATCAGGCCAAACCATATGAGGAAGGATAGCATTACCATCCGGAAATGACTCCCCATCCCCTTCCTCAAATCCTGAAGGAAGGCTAGAACCAAATCCATTTTCCCAAGTCGAGTTATGTTCCGAGTAAATGGGATAAAATAACTGAAATTGTTCACAGGGATTGGCATCATGGTGCTGTAACTGAGTTGCGCTGCTCGTATCTTCTAAGCAGCCTCCCCCTGGCACGTTAGGGGAGATAACTGGGTTAAGATTCTGCAAAAATCTCATATCCTCAAGGTAGCGGTCGGAAGATAGCCCTCCATCTGGACATTTCCCAAAAGTCTCTTCCAACCCAAGACTCTCGCTATCGGTTTGAAGCCTGGAGCGCAAATGTGAGATGGCTGGTTGGTTGGTATTTTCTAAGGAAGAAAATAATGCCTTGGACTTCTGAGAAGTTCCAGAGCGACCATGGAACCTCGGCTCAGCCTCGTTATATACTGAAGGGGAGCCTAACAAGGAGAAAAGGATACCCGGCTGATCAAGTGTGCTACTAGACTCATCGTCGGAGTTAAGCGAGTTTATATTTAGGGCAACATTGGGATAAAGAGATTCGCTGCCTATGCCGCAATGATCGATTGAATTTGCATCAAGCAGAGTGTTGGTAAAGATCTCATTCGCATCATGGCTACTATTTGTAGGAGCATGGGTGGCAGGCTGTGAAACATTAGATACCTGCTTTAAGCTTCCATAAACTGTAGGGAAAGACACTGCTGTGGCAACCTTCAATAAATTCTGAACTTACCCATGCGTGATTGGTGCTTTCACCGTCCACACTTAGTGGTTGTCGATTGGCTCGACTATGTTCATTCGTCGCAGCATTCTGTGGAAAGGGTGGTTCTTCACAGAGTGTATTAGGCAGCTTGGGATCTTCCAAGTCTGTCGCATTTGGTATCGCGGCACTGTCCGAAGTATTGTATTCGTTGGTCTTCATTTTCTTGCGGCTCGAGACGCAGTGATCTGACGACTCGCCTAGTGGTGTGTCCACAGTCACGAATTTTCAAATTGTTAGATCAGCAAGAGGCTCTCGCAAATAAGTGGCATAATATGAGAACCGTCTGGGTCCATTTTAGCATGAGGACTTCCATTGTACGAGTGCAAGAGGCAACCAAGCAGGTGAGGAAAGAGGGGGATTGAAAGGGCTGGGGCTGACTCGCTCACTGTCACGTGGTGCCAGCTTAGCTCACATCGCCCAGCTGACTAAATGGCTGTTGAACACAGGCCAATGATAATAGCAGGGGCGTCGGAGGCCTAATCGCTAGGGTTCCCGGAGTTCCGCGGCTCATCCGCCAAACTAGCTAGACCTCCGTGAATGGCTAAAAAGGGCTAGAAGTCCAGTCAACACTTCTTTTGTCTCACTACCATAGGTCATAGAGACAGACAATCCTACGGGTTTTAAGATCAAATTTCTATTCAGCATGTTCTGCACGTTCCCAGTATCGGATACCTTGCATCATGATAATGAACAGAAAACGCAACCATCCCCGCCAAATTCGACTCTGCCGAGGCGACGGCAGGTCTGGAGAGCGTGTGACTGGTGCCGTGTGAACAGGATTAGGTGCGACATAAGCGTCCCTTGCCGAAATTGCCTGAATAGAGGTAGACAATGCAGCAACCGCGGCGAGATTCGGAATTTGCCTCAAGCTTATGAGTACGTGCCCTATGATACTTTGTCCAAATCTAACGCGGAGAACTAACTGTATCTCAGGGAAATTGAACGACTGAGGCTACGAGTTCGAGACCTAGAAGCGGCCAACGCGGCTAATTCTTCTGTGAATATGAGCCTGCCTGCATCAAGCCCTAACAACCAGAACTCGATAGAATGTGGATGCCCGGACGATTCCAAAAAGCCCTGGCAAGGCGTGTACTCAAGGGATCCGCGAACGCAGCAGGTTTCATACTACGGCCCATCTTCGACCTTATATTTCTTGAGCAGGATAAGTTCCTTTCTCGGAAGGGAGCTACAACAACACCAAGGTTGTGAGGAGCTCCAACCAACCTCGGCGAGCAAGATCCTTGCGCGTCCAGAAACATCAGACGATCTTGCAGCAGAGGGATTAGCTTCACAGAGTCTCTTGCACACGGCGAATGAACGTGCCTCTTTGCCTCGTGCCCAGGAAGAGTCTTTCCTGAGCCTTTTCTGGCAATTCCATTTCTGCACCTTGCCCATTATTGATCAGGAAGAGTTCTTGAACCACTACCAGTCACTCTGGAAAGTTTCAAATATCCGCAGGAAACCCTCTGCACTCGCTGATATCATGCTCGCCCTTTGTATGCAATACGGGCATGGTCTGATGTCAGGGGCCAGTCCTAATTCCAACAAAACTACTGATGCCGCCGAATCTACCATTGCGGGACGATGGTATTATCATCGATGCCAAGCATTGTTGGCCAACGAGTTTGATGCTCCCTCCATCACAACCGTGCAATGCCACATATTAACCGTTGTTTATCTGTATTTTGCGTCCTTTCAGAACATGGCCTACATTACCATGTCTTTGGCCGTACGGTCTGCCCAAACTCTCGGTCTCCATCTAGAGCCTCCTCTAGAGATTCCTTCTAAGGAACGTGACTTGCGCAAGAGAATCTGGTGGGTGTTGTCGATGGTGGATACTAAGATTTGCATGAAGCTTGGAAGACCTTTCTCATTCGCTACAGATGAAGTCAGCTGTTCAGTGCTCGCCAATACTACCGAGACTGTGACATCGCTTGATTCTATGCTTGGGACCAGCGAGACAGGACTCACATGGTTGACATACATAGTACACTGTCAAGAATTGGTTGCTATAATACGCGAAATCCACGAATCACTTTATTCCAAATTCTCGGTGGTCCTTGCACAAGGAGAAATCAATATTCCCTATGAAAACCCTAGTTTATTGGAGGTCTGTGCTGAGTTTTTGGCGGCAAAGATGGAAGCAACGGAGTCCTGGATAAGTCGTGTGCCATCGCGAATAAAAACAGAACGAAGGGGAGACGGGCGGTCATTCTCTATTGATCGGTCCCCATTGTTGATTGAGACTTCGGCCCCCCTTTGGCTTCAACGCCAACGGCTATGTCTTGAGCTTATGTACAATGGTCTCGTGATGAGTCTCTATCGGCCCTTCATTACATTCTCTAAGCAGTACTCTATTTGTTACACAAGAACGGAAGCTCACGCATTGGCTTGCGTCAACCACGCGATCACACACACGTACATTATGCACCAAGTTATCATGGAAACTGACCTTTTAAACGGTTGGCACGATGCCTTCCAATGGCAGTGGGAGGCGACGGTAACCCTTCTCGGCTTCCTTTTTGCATATCCAATCAGCTCGTCCGCTCCTACCACAAGGCGCGCCATTTACAAGGCAGTCGAATGTTTCGAGCAGTTCGGTAGCAATAATGTCGGTGTAGCACGTAACGCTGCGGAAATCACCCGAAATCTTATATCGAAAGCCGACCTTCTTCTGGATAGGATTTGGATTGGATTTAGCGAAGCTGCAGTCGCCGAGCAACCCTCATCAGCGGACTTAACCCCACGAGATGATCTTACACCTATGACCCAAGCGTGGCATGATAATTCGTCTGAAATTTGGGGGTTTCTCGACCTTGCACTAACAGTAGATGCTTTTCACAGCTTTGAAGACTTTGTCACAGTCGTCGAATCTTGATTTTTTTCTATCGCTGCCCTAAGCAGGAAGAACTCAGGCGCTAGTTTAATATATCTTAGATATACTCAGATTTACTCAGGGTATAAATTTTCAAATACCTGAGTTTCAGGGGTAGTAATATCTTATTTATAAGTACTTCTTTTATCTTACTATCTATTCTAATTAAGAATAAAAGTTATCTCTATCTCTTTTTAATTATAATTATTTATTCTAAACTAATTTTTAAAATATTCTTCTATCTAGCTATAGTAATAAAAAGAAAAGTATCTTTTAATTTAGAGTAATACTAAAAAATAGTATAGCTTAGTTAAGTTCTTTAGTTTTTATAAGTTAATTAATATTTAATCTATAATAAGTTATAGAATATATTAGAAGAATAATATAAAAGAGAGTATAAATATTAAAAAGAATAAGAATAATAAATCTAGAAAATAATATTCTATATACTAAATATTCTAGGTTTTAAATTATATTATAATAGACTAGCTCTATAGTAGCTATAAATAGATATCTACTTTAGAGTTTATATTCTTAAAAAAGAAAAAAATAAGTTTCTCTTTATAATTCTTTCTTTCTCTTATATAATATTATAATATACTAATTAGAGATTTTACTTATTATAATTATTCTTTATTATATTTAATATAATCTACTAGTAATTAGATTAAAATAATAATTAGATTATTTTTTCTTATTTTTTATTTTTCTAATTTTATATCTATTTCCCTTTATTTAAAAATATATAAATATAAAATAAAAAGTTTTAAATTACTTTAGCTCTTTAAGTTTTATAAAAAGATTTAAAATTAAATCTTTAAAAGATTATATTGAAATATAATATTAATTATATAATACTATAATAATAAAAATATAATTAAACTATCTAAATTAATTTTTAATATAATAATTAGAATTTTATTAATCTAGAGAAATAAATTATTATTAAGAGAGTTCTTAATCTAGATTCTTAAATATTTTTATTTTATTTCCTTAAGATAGAAAATATAACTAATTTTCTATTATATAATTATAATATAGAGTATATTAATATTAATTAAGCTTCTTACTTTATAAATACTAATTATTATTTAAGATAATTTTATTTTATAAATATAATTATTAGAGAGCTTTAACTTACTATCTCTAGAGTAATAAATAAATAAAATATTTAAACTAAATATTAGAATAATATTTATAAATATATATTAATTATAAATAAGATAATTAGATATAATTATTATCTATAGTATAGATTATATATAATAGCTTAATATAAAAATCTACTTAATCTATATCTATATATATAAACTATAGTTATAAATTAGAATTTTAAATCTAATAAATACTTAATAAACTAAATATACTTATTATTATACTTATAAAAGAAATATTATATTTATTATATATAGAAATAAAAATAAAACTATAATTTATCTAGAAAAGAATAAAGAAATATTATAATAAAATAAAATTAAAAAAAATTAATCTTAGAGAAAAAATTAAATACTAATTATAGACTATTATTACTAGATATAATATATATCTACTTAGTTTTTATATTTTATTATTTAAAAAAAATACTATAAAATACTCTAGATTAAGATTATCTAATTAAGATCTATAAAGAAAAATATAAACTAGAAAAAATATTAAAAAAAGAAGTTAAAAATAGATAAATATTCTATTTAATTAAATAGAAAAAGTATATTAATAAAAATAATTTCTAGAAATTTATTAAATATTTAAAGAACTATTAAAAGTTTATTTAATAATATTACTAGATCTAGAAATATTTATTCTAATAAATTAAGAAAAAAATAGCTTTTAATACTATAAGATTTTACTTATATTATTTTATCTAATTATAATTTCTTTTATTAATAAAGATATTTAATCTTTATATCTATAAATTAATATTACTTTTCTACTATCTTAAGCTCAGACTTAAGCTTTTTATATTAACTAGTAATTTAATATAGCTAAATAAGAATTAGATCTTAGATATTATAATAAACTTAGTTATTTTTAATATAATAAAAATATCTTAATAAGAATCTCTTAGATCTAAAATACTTATAACTATATACTTTATAATAGCTATACTCTATTTTTATTATAAAAGAATTAAGTAGTATAATATTAATTAGAGAATTATATTAAATAGTTTTCTTATAAAGAGATTTCTATATATAATTAGATATTATTCTAAGAAGTATAAACAGATAATAGAAGGAAGTTAGTATATCTATTAACTAAATTACTAAATCTAGTTTTAAGAATATAACTAATAGAGAGAGAATATTATATTATAATTTTAACTAATATATACTATTATATATAACCCTTACTTTTTCCTCTAATTATAGCTAGATTATTTAGATTTTATAATAATCTTTATAATTCTAAAGTCTGGATTATTACTAATAACTAATAATCCTCTAATATATATATATATTTATTTATTTTATTAGATAGAATACTCTTTTATATAGTTATTAATAATATTATCTATACCTCTATTATTACTAGCTCTATAATATTTATATATTAATAGTAACTTATATTATATAGCTTATAATACTCTTCTTAGAGTTTTTAGAGATACTATTACCTTATCTTAGCTTATATAAATAAAAAGATAAAAAAAAATAGAGTTAAAGATTAGATATAGACTGAAACTTAGTTAAAAATAAATTATATAGATCTAGCTATATATAGCCTAACCTTAGGATATCCCTTAAATATAGTAAAACCCCCTTAAATATATATATATATATACAGCTTATAATAACTTAATTATATTACTTAGAATAATACTCTAATTAGTTATATTCTAATTTACCCTGGACTCTATTCAGTATAAGTTAATCTAACTATTATAATTAAGATTATTAGAATAGAAATAATTTAAAAATTAATTATTTAAGCTTTATATTTTTCTAATTATATTTAGATTAGAATATTATCTAGATTAGAATATTATTTAGATTAAAATATATTAGAATTTATTTTAATTAAATTTAAAATAATATATTTTTAAAAATAAAAAAAGTTAATTATTTAAAATTATTAATTAATTTATCTCTATAAGTATAATATATATTTATAACTATAAAATAGTTTTTATTAGAAATAATATAGATTTAATATTAATTTAATATCTATTTATATATAATTAGTTATACTATATAATAAAAAAAATATAATTAAATAAAATAATATAGATAATATTTTAAAATTTTAATAATATTAAAGAATTAAAATATATTAAATAGTAAGAAATAAAGAAAATAGTTTATAAAATAATATTTTTTTTACTAATTATTTTTTCTTTTAAATTTATATTTTTTAAAATTAAAATTAATTTAGTATTTTTTTAAAAAAAATATAAAATTATTTTCTTTTAAGTTATTATAAATAAAGAAATACCCCTGGTATTATATATTATACCCCTATTTTTTCTTACTAATAAAGAGAGAGTTACTCTAGATTACTAATAAGCCTATATAATTTTTAATCTAGTTTACTCTAGATTACTAATAAGTCTTTATAAGCTATTTAGTATATATATATATTTATTTTACTAAATAGAATACTTCTTTAGATAGTTATTAATATAATTATCTATATATCTATTACTACTAACTCTATAATACTTATATATTAATAGTAATTTATATTATATAGTCTAAGATAATCTAATTATACTATTTAGAATAATATTCTAATTAATTTAGCTCTAATCTACTCTAAACTCTATCTAGTATAAGTTATCTAATTATTATATATTAATAACTCTTATTTAGCTAATTATCTTATCTTAATTACTATATAATATTAAAAGATAAAATAGCTCCTACTAAACTATTAAATAATACTCTATAAGCTCTAATAGCTCAGAAGATTATATAGTAGCTTATAGTATAAATTAAATAACTTAAGAAGAAAGAAATAAAGAATAAGGAGAAAATAATATAATTAATACCCTTAGAATTCTTCTTAGATAATATTAATAAACTAAAAGAATTTAAGATTTAATTTTAAATATACTTTAAATTCTTTCTAATTAAGTTAGTAATAGATAAGAATAAAGTTAGATTTATAGGAATATATCTTAATAATACTATAGAATAATAATTCTAGATCTATCTTAGAAATTAGTATAATAATAAAACTATACTAAGCTTATAGAACTAGAAGATAGTTAATATTCTTATTAGTTATAAGAACTTCTAGATCTTACTTATTTTAATATTTAATTAAGTAGATAAAAAATAATAAGCTATTAAAGACTTTAAGAATTTATACTAAATAGAACTAGTATTAGAATATACTACTAAGTTCTAGAAAATCTTAATTTAATTAGACTAGAATAATAGCTCTTTTAAGATTATATTCTATAATAAGCTTAAGGAAAAAGTTAAGAATTAACTTTTTAAAATAAATAAATTAAAAAATCTATCTAAATATATAGTAAATACTATATAAATTAATAACTATCTATATAAAAGATAATAGTAGAAAGAGAATAAATATACTAGTTAGAACTATATTAAGAATAAACCTAATTAGAGAGTATAATAAACTCTATTACTATTTATAGAGTCTAGAATATATATAGACCCTATAGAGCTAGAAGCTATAGAGAAATATAAGTATTATAATTATAATAAGATTAAGTATATTTTATCTTAATATTTAAAGCCTAAAAAGCAGAAGAATTAGAAATCTACTAGAGAAAGTAAGAAATAGCTAGAAGTAACTAAAAAAACTAAAATTAAAATACTTAGAATAATTAAAAAAACTACTTAGAAAGAAAACTATATAGTTATTATAGTTTTTAAATTTTCTAGAAAATCTATATTAAGTTTCTATAAGATACTAGAGATTAGTAATAAAAAGAAAAAATAAATAGTATTAGAAGAAAACTAATAGTATATTATAGATATTCTCTAAGAGCTTAAGTAGAAGTATAAAGATAGAAGGAATATTATAGATTA